TCCTCGTGTGAAATATATATAATTCTTATTGCTACCATTCTCCTATAAAATACTTTTTAAAATATTAAATTAATTTTGTATGAGTATGAATTACTATTCAAAATATTAAATTAATTTTGTATGTGTATGGATTACTATTTAAAATATTAAATTAATTAATATTGTAGTTTTCAAATCTAAAATTGATCAAATTATTCCGTTGAATTTTTTGTTTAAGTATAAAATATATAATAATTCTTATTACTAACATTCACCTCAAAATTTCTTTCATTTCTTTTTTTCCATTTAATTCTAGAAAAATTTTAAAAAAAAATTTTAGAAAAAAAAGTTTTTTAATTTCATAAAATATTCTAATTAAATTTCAATTCTTTGGAATAATTGTAACAAACATAAGAATTTATTATATAAATTAAGTATGAATTACTATTTCAAATATTAAATTAATTAATATTGTAATTTTCAAAACTAATTTTAATCAAATAATTTCGTTGAATTGTTTATTTAAATTTGTTTACATTAGTTTTTTTCTCTTTTTTTATTTATTTTTATTTTTGTTTGTTACTGACCTTGAAGCGAATGCATGTTTCTGCTTCGATATGATGTAATGCGGTACGAATTAAATTTTGCCATTTAACTGTAAATTAATCATTTCTGTTTTGTTAACATTTCATTTTATTATTTAATTTCTAATTTAAATTAAAATTTTTTTTGAACTTTTAATTTATGTTTTTTTTTTTTTTTTTTTATGCAAATAACATTGAAATGAATTAATTTTACAAAATTAAATTTTTTTTTTTTTTAAGTTCACCATCCAAATTGCTAAAATAATATGATATTGGCATATTCATCCAATTGTATTGCTCTCCTCGAATTGCTTGTCGACTATTTCCTTAAATTAATAATAATAATAATTAAATATAAGTACAATAATAATAATTAATAATAATAATTAAAAATAATAATTAATAATAATAATTAATAATAATAATTAAAAAATACAAATTTAAAATTTGTCTATTTTTTTTTGATAAACAATAGTATTTAATTAGAAACACTAAATTCATAATGATTGAAGTTTTATTCTAAATTGTTTTTTTTAAAGGAATTATATTTTTTAATTTCGAAGATACAAATTTTTTTTTTTTTTTTGCATAATATTTAATTTTAGCAAAAAAATGGAATAAAATTTATTTGCTAGTCGAATGGTGATTAGCTAACTAAATATTGAAATTTTTACGATTTATCAAATGCATTTGTAATTTTTCCATTAAATTATAAAAACTAATTTGGAACAAATTTTTAGTTTTTATTTATTTATTAAAACAATTTTTCTAATTATTTTATATGTTGTAAAAAATCACAAAAAAAATAATATAACAGTTTTGCAAAGTAACAAAATAATTTAGCTTTTATAATGTTTCGAATAAATTTTATCAAAATTTTGATCCTACCAAAATAAAATTTTAATCATTTACTAAAAAATTTGAATAAATTAAAAAAGATAAAATTTTACTTTTAAAGTAATAACTTACTAAATTTTACTTCTAAAGTAATAACTTACTATTTTTGATATCTTCATTGAGTAAAGCTTTAATTTGTGGTAATGTTAATAAGATATCATTCTCGAATAAATCACCCACAACACCTTCCTTACGATTAATACTTGCTTCGGTACCATCATCAGCCGGAATATCTCTTAAGTCTTTGCTAACTTTTTTAGAATCCTTCAAAAATTTAAACTTAAAATTTTTTAATTAAAATTGAAATATGCAAAATACAAAAATTTATTTTAGAATAAAAATTACAAATAAAATTAATTAATAATTTATATTACTTCGTTCTTTTTTTCTTTTTCCACCTTATTGGACACAAGTGCTACTTTTTTTCCGTGAGTTCATTTACGGATAATAACGTCAAAACACTTACGTAATCATGATATGTACCATACTTCCGTGCTGTAATTTTATAATATTGATCTAATAGCACGCGAACTTCTGCATAATCATTTGAAATTATATTATTATTTTGTGCGTTTACCTAAAATTAAACTTTTATATTACTGTAATTTTATGATTAAACTATCTAAAAAAGAAATATGGAAAAGTAATTATTTACTAAATTTAATTTATTTGCGAGCAAAATTAATAAATGATAATTAATTAACAAACTATATTATCACATAATACTATTATTATGATAACAAAAAAAAGTTTTTTACTAAAATACATTAATTGATATATAATTGATAATTTTTTTTCCTATCAATTTATCATTTTTAAATAATTCTAAACAATCATTTTGAATTAAAACCTTGTAAACATATTTATTTACTTATTTACTTGTTTATTTATTTATTCATTTATTTTTGCTTTCTTCAATCAAACCTTACAATTACATAACATAAATATGCAATCACTCGTAATAATACCATCATTTTGTCCTTCCAAAATGTGCTGCAAATTTTAACTGTAAAAAAAAAAAATTTTTAAATTTAAAATGATAGCAAATAAATACAAAAATAATTTATCAATTATAATCATTTCAATAATTTCCTGCGATAGTGTAAACATTGAAAATAATTGATCATTATTTTATCAATATATTTCAATTAATCTATCATAATATTTCATATTTTTAAATTTTTAAAATATGAAAAAATTTCTTTTTCATCAATTATTTAGCTTAAAAAAAAAAAAAAAAATTTATAAAAGCGATTTTTTTTTTGCAATTAAAATATGTTAGTATCATTAAGCATAATCAATTACTACTATCCTAAATAAAGTAATGAATTAATTACTAATTACTACTATCCTAAATAGAGTAATGAATTAATTACTAATTACTACTATCCTAAATAAAGTAATGAATTAATTACAGATTACTACTATCCTAAATTGAGTAATGAATTAATTATAGTGTCACTACTATCCTAAATAAAGTAATGAATTAATTACTATTATCTTAAATAAAGTAATGAATTAATTACAGATTACTACTATCGTAAATAAAGTAATGAATTAATTACAGATATTAATTAATTAATTAATTAATTAGCAATGAATAGTTACTTACGACAGTCACGGTAGTCACACTTATGCGCAATAAAAAAAAAAGTTTTTTTTTTTGAAAATGCTTGTCAATTCTAATGTTTCGATTGATGATGATTTTAAATCCATTTTGTTGACCTTGACATTTGTTGGATGTCATTTCAGCTCGTCACATTATTATTCATTTTCAAAAGTACGATTAATTTCAAATTTCAACTACAATCTAATCTTAGATCAATCAATTCATATTTAGAAAAAATTCGTTTTTAAATTGAATTAAATCGTTAATGCAAATATGATTAGTTGATTGAATTAATTTTCACATCCATTTGTAATGGAGTAAAATTAAATTCTTTTGTCAAAAAAAAAAAAAAATTACTCATGCATATCAGATAATAAGATTTATCAAATTTATGAAAAATTTTTTAGATTAGTTACTTAACAAAAATATTTGTCTAATTTGGGTACACAAAAATTTTAAAAGCAAAACAGAGAGAAAGAGAGAGAGAGAGAGAGGGAAGAAAAATTATCTTTAATCAGTATAAATCCAATAGCATATTTTGATAAAAATTAAATAAAAAATAAAAAAAAAAAAACAAAGAGAGTCGAGACATTTAATATAATTTTAATACTATTTTTTTTATTTTGGCAATATTGTTAATTAGAACAGAAAATATAGTACTGTTTGTCAATGTAAATAGGTCAATTAAATAAGAAAATTCGATTAGTTTATTTAATGTATTTAAATTAAGCATCGCAATTTGCTATTTATTATTTCATTTTCAAATTTTCAATTTGAAATTTTTTTTTTTTTTTTTTGGTATTTCACTATTGATGAAAATTGCTTTTGACATTTTTTTGTACGATTGCAATTGCGTGTACGTGTATCTTATGTTTCTTCATTTTAAGTAAATGATAATTCTTTGTTAAAAAGTGAAGATAATTTTTAAACCAGTTAATGGAAATAACTAAAATAATTACTTGCTGTTAACACATTTTTTTTCCTTTTTTCCTTTTTTTTTTTAAATTTCAGGTGAGCTATTTCAGTCCATTATCATAAGAGCAATAATTTAGGTCGTGGTACAAAATCGTACAATGACTTTGGTTTTTTGCTAAATTTACAGTTTAAAATACCATCTCCTGTTTTAAAACATTACTGAAATGAAATAAAAAAAGAGTAAATTTTCCTTTTTTTTTTTTGGAAAAAAGAGAATAACTTCACAGGAAATCTTCTTTGAGAAAAAGTAAACTTTTGTAAACACTAATTTTTGTCCTCGATTTAGAATTTATTTTAGAAATTGATAAGATATCCGTAATCTAGGATTGCCTTTTAAGCTAACCGCTTTCGTATTATTTTAAAAATTTCAAGAATAAAAATTTACAAGTTTAGTAGAAAGATTATCAGATTTATTTCAACTTTACTAAAACTTTTTTATAAACTTTCAAATAAATAAATTAATAATCTTAGTGCAAATATTTCCTGATTTCTAACTTAAAACTGATCAATTTGCATATGGAACTGACCATGAGCTTTTGTTTTTTAGTTCTAAGCATAGAAACATTTAGAGAGACAGTTTATTGTGATAATGATAGTTACAATAAATAAGGCAACATAACATTCAAATCCACCATTAAATACCAATAAACAATCATAAAATTGCCCGATGACACAATCCCTTGAAATATTACGCAAGAAACATTCAAGAAATGATAAATTAAAATCTATGACAAAGAAAAACGCATACGTTTATCCAAGCTATGGAAAAAAAAAAACGAACCTTTCAGAAAGGACAAAATGAAATTAAAATGTTGGTGGTACATTACCTGTTGGAATAAGCAAAATTAAGCGACAAAGGAATGAATAAGAAGTACGGACCTTCACATCAAAAAATACGCAAAAAAAATTTTTTAATTGATGTATATGATGAAAGAGTTACATTTCTTGTAATCACATTACCATCCCATCTTCACAGATCGGATAATCTCGAATATAGCTGAAATTATTAATTGTTAATTGCAGAAGATAAAAAAGCCTCCTTCTTCATAATCCATTAAAATTCAAAAACATCCAATTTCAATTACTATTAAAGATATCACAATTTCCCAATATTAAATAGCGAATGTAACTAATGCTAGGCATAACGTTTCTTTTCTTTTTTTTTTAACCAGCTTAAATGCAGAACATTTATTCTCACATTTTTATCTTATTTACTAGATCATTAATCGATTCCACAAATATTCTATAAATAAAAGGAAATCACTTAGGTAAGATCGATTTTCTTGTTTTGTACTGATAAAGGTATGTTATTTCATAAAGTCGATCGATTGCGGGAAAAGAAATTACGTTAGAACGGTTTCAGAACACAGCTTCCGGTATACTACAAACTAAAGTCTTAAAGGATACACACATACACACACACTGTCCAATAAGGTTTACATCTCGCGACTTCCTCTCTCTACCTTATGAAATTATTCTAATATGAGACTGACAAGCAACTAAAATATGCATTAACTTAATAAATCAATATAAATATTAATTGATCGTTAACAAATACCACCCAGAAAAAGTAAGAAATAAATAAAAAATGAACACTATTTAATAAATAGACAAAATCTTACCAGAACCACAAACAACAAAGACGAAAAGACCAATTAACCATGGAGTCGTTGAATATTTATCTTCTTGCGGCTTCTAAAAATATTTTCTTTAATTCATACAACATACAATTGCAATTTTAAAAAAATCCATTAAATAATATGTCTTACTAATTTCACCTCACCACAATATAATAACTAGATTATCAGTCATTACTAGCAAATCCCAATGTGAGAAGATTCTCAAACTGCTACCTGTACAAGTAAATATGAAGTAACAAAAGAAAAAAAAAAATTGTGATAAGTTCGACAGATACACAATTGTATGCAAAAATATTTTTTGGTGAAAAAATAAAAAACAAAAACAGACAAAATTTTTTCTAAACTATGAAATAGTGAAAACAATCCAAGCCAATCAATCAAAAATCAGACAATATTATAATGATACAACATAAATACCTTACCAAAGTTTTCTGTACATTGCCTCGTGATAACACATTCCTGCTGAAAACTGAATTCGCCACACTCATTCGTTGTTTGGCAGGCATTTGTACTGACTAAAAATAATACAAAATAAAGTCAATCAATAATTAAACAGTATTTTAAAACGATACACTAACATAACGTTAAAAATTTACTAAAAGATTTAAAATCCAAAAAATAATCTTTAATCTTACCCAAATAAACTTCGATGAATAGCAAAACAGTTAAAATCAATACCCAAAGATAAACAGAACAGAATTTAAATTACAAATGAAATTATCAACAAAATACTACTAGCAGCAATAGTTAAGTAATAATTATGCTATTAACATGCTAAACAATTCTAGATTTATCATTAGCTTAACTTTCCTACTCATTAATAAATCCGCTAAATTATTTGAAAGAGCTAAATGAATTAAATCTAATGATTTCAGTCTAATAATGCATGACCTTAAAAACATAACATAAAATAAAATAAAATAATTTAATTCATATCATATATCAGCATTTATCTATTTCATTATCAATAACAACTTTGATAACACTCATGACACTGATAACTATATATCACATCTCCTCCACGTCATATCTTTTAATCTTTTCGCATTATATCTGTACTACTACTACTACTGATAAAATGAGAGAAACTAATAAAACGAAAAAAAATGAACAGTAGTAAGATGAAATATCGATTAGATATTATTTTAGATAAATTAAACAAACAATAAAATTACCGATTCCTGATTAACATACCGTTCCGGAAAATGTCTATCAAAAAGTAGCAAAATGACATCTAAACCACTTTATATGACAACATGTGCAAACTACATTTTTTTTTTTTTCAAATGACGGCATGAAATTTCAATCCCAGAACATAATTAAAAAGGAAAAAAAAAAAACGTTACAAAAATAATTTAAATAAAATTTCAATAAAAATTTAATAAAGTTTGATTGAAATTAATTACTTTCTCAATAATTAATTATATTCTAAAAAGTAATAACTTTCTTTTTTTTTTTACCTGCTAAGATATAACACGTAACGTTAATACGTAACTAACACATAGCGTTAATACGTAACTAACACGTAGCGTTAATACGTAATTAATAATTAATTCTTTTTTCATTTCATACCTTAAATTATAACACGTTTCAATCGATATATTTGATTATATTAGTTTAATTATTAATTAAATGAATTAATTGGCTCAATCGGTAAGACTTAATTTATCTCGAATAAGTCTCGAATAAATATTTTTCATTGTTAGAAATGAAAAGAGAGGAAAAGAAAAAAAAAAAAAAACAAAGATTAGAACTAAAAATGTTTATGAAAATGAATGTGAAATTGAACGAATGATAGAATTGAAGAAAACAAAAAATGTAAATATTAAGTATTAGGGAAAAAATAAATAAATAAATAGTTATTAAAGCATTAGAAATTTTTTTTTTTTTTTTACAAATGTATTGGATGAAAAAATTTTCATAATAATAAGATATTATTAAAGATGAGAAATATGCATTTGTAATTTGAATGTAATCGAGAATTTATCATAACTTATAGATGGAATAAAATTTTTAAAAATTTATTAATTGTATCAATTTCAATCAATTTATTTGTTGGAAAAAAAAAAAAAAACAAAAACAAATGATATTAAAAAAAGTCCTTGAAAGAAACTCTCTTCATTTTCTCCTTTTCTCCTTTTTTTCTTAAATAATTTAGCACCAAACTGTTTAAAAATTTAAAAAGTTTTAATCATGAAAAAATTTTAAAAAGAAAAAAAAAATCTTAAAAAATGAAATTGAATAAGTTTGCAATTTTTGCTGTTTATAAAAGAAAAAAAACAATGGTCTTTTAATATAATAAATATATTCGCTTTAGACGTAGCTAATTTTTTATTGAAAGAATTTAAAATATAATTTTTTAATTATTAAATTTAATTTTTTTTTTTTCTAAATTTCTTTTATTTTCTTTAAAAAATAGGATGAAAAAAGTATGCAAGATATAAATATATATATTTTTTTTAAGATTTATATTTTAGTATAAAAAAGAAAAAAATTATTTTTAAAATTAAAAATTTTTAATTCTTTAATCAAAAGATTTATTCTTTAAATATTTTCGTTATTTTTTTTTTTTTTTTTAAATTCTTCCGTTTTCCTTTTTTTTTTCTTCATTTACGTAAATGTGCGTGTTTTTTTCACTATTCTCCTTACGTGAAAGATAATTTTAATGAAAAAATATAATGTGTCATTTGCTAAAAGAGAAAAAAACAGGAAGAAAGGAATGTAAGACTTACGTGTATGACAACGTACGTATATGTGACGTGTATGACAACGTACGTGTAAATATTGTATGGTTGATTATGTGAAATGTTAATAGTTATGAAATAAGAGAAATTAAGTTAGTTTCGAGAATATTCCAAGAAGAAAGTAACCATAGACTTGCGCCATTTTTTGGCGGGAAATATTGTAAAGTAAGAAATTAGTAGCAAAAACTTTAAAGTTCATTCTTTAATGGGTTTTTGTTTGTTAGAGAGGTGATCGTATGTGTGTAGTAAGTTAACACGTAACGTAAACGCATGATATTTCACGTGTTACGTGCAATATATGTAATATGCATATATGCATATTACATTACTAATTTATGAATTAATTATCTATGATTCGTGTTTTGTGGGCGTGTCCATCCCTAATATTAGATTTTGCACGTAGGCACTTATTAGCAAGCTAAATTACGTGCATTTTGCTGGAATATTTCAAATGGAATCAATGATTTGCTTAATGAGTAGCGGCGCATTTTGGCGGTTATTTATTTATTTACTTATTTATTTTTTCTTGTTATTGTAATTTTCAAACGTAATATGACGTGACGTAACGTAATGTGACGTATTACTGTGGTATAAGTTACTTATACGGTATGTGTTCTTACTTACATACTACTACAGTATATTTTACTATTATGGTATTTTTTTTTTGTTTTACTATTATAGTATTATTTGAAATATTATGGTATTATTGAAATTTTTATTTATTTGATTTATTTATTTATTTTCATATTATGGTATTATTGAAAGAAAAAGTAAAGTTAACATTCATTTTTTTTTTTTTTTAAATGGAATTTGAAAAATTTTTTTTTTATTATGATGTCAATTCGCCAAAATGCATTGCTACTCATATATCAATTGAAATGCCTCAATTAAATTGCACGTAATTTAATCCATTAATGATTACATGAAAATTTTCATATCAAGTTTTCTAGCAGACTATCAACTTCTTTCTCTATCAGTTATTAATTAAATTTCTTTTTTTTTTTTTGAGAATTTTTTTTTTTTTTTTATGCATGCAAAATTAAAAAATTTTAAAGAAATCCTGTCCTTCTATACACATTTGTTTTTATTATCGAGAGAATGTCCTTAATTAATTATCTAATATCTAATTACATTTATTTTTTAAAGTACTGACACGAAACTAACATTTGTTATTCAATGAACAAAGCAAAAAATACAACGACTGATGTTGATTTAGGTGTAATACCAGGTATTTAATTTTTTTTTTTTTTTTGATATTTCACCTTGCTTTCACTAAATTTTTCTTCAACGAACATATTGTAGGATATTTTTGAAGAAGCAAAATGAAAAAAACGGTTAAATTGTTTTCATTATGATGTTATCATAAAAATTGAATTTGGCAAAAAGTATGTGTCGAATGTGGAATTATAATTCAAAATAGATTCATTCGGCATTTTAACTTGTTACTTAAGGCAATTTTGGAAAAATAAGTGGATCAGCGTCAACAGAAAACTACAACATTTTTGGAAACCATAGTTTCGATGGTTACGGTAAATATATCTTTTGAGGGGAACACTGAGTCCAGTAACTTCCAATGTATTCTTTCAGTTAATGGCAGTATAGCTGTATACAGAAAGAAAGGATATTGTGAAAGAAATACCTTTTCCAAAAGTTCTATTGATTCATAACTGAGTTATATGCAGTATGATCATTCTTTTCCGTATTCGCTTTAAACATACAAAAGTTTCATTTACCTACCAAGCTGTTATCATTTCAACTCAATATTAGACTATTTAGGTTGAATTCGGAGGAGATATTAGGAGGCTTAGTGCAAAAATATTGTTTCAAATCTTCTAGAAATAGCTAAAGAACAAATTAATTTCTAGGAACAATAGCGCAACTGAAGAACATCTGGAGTAATGACAGCAGTGATAATCAGGTTTCAGTTCCAGACTTAGTACTGCAGAGTTTTCCGGGAAATGGGATTTTCTCTCGCAAAGTGTTTGTCGGTGGGCTTCCACCTGATGTGACTGCTAGTAAGCCTTCGGTTATTTCACATTGCATAGTTCTTTAATGGCTGTATAAATCGTCATCATACTGTAAACAGTCATCATTTTTTCATACCAGTAAGCAATCGCCATGATTTTTGAGCTTTTTTTCCTGATCCTGATCCGCTGTAATATTTAGACTCACTTTCTTTGTTCTTCGAACAGTTTGGAGCAAATACAGTCGATTGGCCGCATCGCAAATGTACTGGAAGTGATATTCCGCCAAATGGTCAGTTCTTCACCCATCATGTCCCTTTAGTACTTGTACTGTGTTATTTTTTAAATTACTTGAAATATTCTGATAATTTAACGCTTACATATTTTGCCTATCGACTAGACAGATATGATAATAAAAGAGATATGATAAAAATGAAATTGAGAAGAATTCAAAGTAATAAAGCGAATAAACTATAATGTTTTTCTGAGTATTATCCTTTTTTCTTTGATGTCAAATAATCGAATGAGTGAATCATATACAAATTTGATACAAGGAGGGTAAGGAAAGGACAAGAAGGAAGATTACATTGTGGAAATGCTGCTAAAGCTGATAAAAAAAGTAACAAAGAGAGCAGAACGGAAAGTGACAACTCGTCTAACTGGAAGTCCTTTTGCTTTTATTGTGACATGACGTGTCATCCTATCTTATATTACACGAGCGAGTAGGCTATTCTTTATGTTCCGCCTTGGAAGGAAGTCATTGTTAAGTGGAATGATTGCCTATCAAATATGGTTTTGGAATTTGAAGCAACCCGATTTTAGGATATGCTTTTGTGGTTTTCATGAGCGACCGTTCTGTCGAATATCTTGTTAGTCGGTGCATTTGCAAGCAAGGAAAACTGAATATTCTTCTGAAAAATGGCAAAAAAGAAGTTAAAGTGGTTAGTTCATGACTAAGGAGTTCAAAAAAGCGAGCTTTATTGGTATAGAGAGTAAAGATTGAGCTGGAGATTGCAAACTATTGAAAAATACCAAAATTGCAGGTGCAAGTGAGACCTTGGGCTCTTAGTGATCAAGTATACCGTGTGACAGACGCAAAGCCGCTATCTGATCGATTTTCCGTTTTCATCGGTGGTGTACCTCGTACGACAACTGCCTGTTAGTTTGCCTTTAATTTTTTAAGGCATTTCCGGTTTCGCAATTTACACTTATAAACGCATTTTTTTTTTTGTTTCCGGGTTTTTTCTTTCATTCAACACTTTGAATAATGACTTCACTATCAGCTGGAGGAAATTTCAATAAAAAAAAAAGAAAGCTGCATTGTATTTTGATATATTATCTTGTTGAAATTATGCATCATTTTTATCATCGTTTGAATAAATTCAAAATTAAGATTCTGTGAAACTTCAGCCTTCGAGAGTGGTGGAAGTGTATATGTTGTCTTGTGTTTGTATTCAAAAATTATTCATTACAGATGGGCAAATGATGTTTGAAATATTATTTTTCTGATATTTCAGCCGAACTGGCAATGTTGCTTCAGCAGACTATTGGTGATGTTGTATATGTTTCTTTGGAAGTCGACGCTGAGACGAAGTATCCTAAAGGAGCCGCGCAAGTGGTTTTCAATAATCGCGAGTCCTACCTTACAGCAATTGCAATGCGTTTGATAACATTAACAACAATTGATCAGGTGAAAGAAGTGAGTCGATTTTTCTTAATTTTTATTTATTATAACTTGTAAAAATGGCAACTGAAGGATGTCGATTGATGGAACAAGTTAAGACTATCTTAGCTAATCGACTGTAACCTACAAGATAATATTTTTAATGTATAATCAATTATATATAGCCAAAATTGGAGCATCATAAGCATTGAAGATATTCCAACTTTTTGCTGAACCAAACGTTTAAATTTATTAGAATGCCGGAAAATATTATTATTTATTAACGACGAAACAGCATCAAATTTTAGATAGAAATCAAGCCATATCTGATGGACTTTGCTCAGTGCGAAATGTGCAACTTGGCTGATGCTCGATATTTATGTCCGGAACTTTGCTGCCTTATGTATATGTGCGAACCGTGCTGGACTGAAGTGCATAAACAACGCGGCTTGCTACATCACAGACCGATGACCAAAGCAAAGCCAGGAAGTCCAATGCGAAACATTTCGAACTATGTTACTGCATTTCCTTTCTTTAATCCATCCTTGGATCATCATAATCATAGCGGTCTTCGTTCAACCAATCAGCAGCAACAGTTATGCCATTGCAGTAAGTTCTGAAATTCTGAACAGATTGAATTTGAGATATTCAGGCAGTGTGATGCAGTGTGATGGCCATTTATGCATTTTTATGTTATCATAACATGAAAAATACAAAATACTGCGACGATTATCTATAATAGCTAAAAATGCTAAAAATTTTTTTCATAGCTAAAAATTCACTTTAACAAAATTTTTATTCATTTAATTTTTTTTTTTAAATTTATTTTTTACAAGTTAATGTGTGCAATTCACATATATCTAATACTATTTCCTGGAAAAAAATTCATTATTTTCATTACTCATATCTGACGTATGTTTTAGGAGTACGTGAAACGCTTCCACTTCAACGTTTGCTACAGCAATACATTATGCAAGCGAACCGTCCACCATGCCATCATTCTTCATTCATTTAAATTATTTCACTGAATTACCGGATTGCATTTGTGAATAGAAATTGTGAAAAGTACCCTATTCCCTTCTAAATTCCCTCTTCCCCAGTTCTTTTTGCACATTTCTACTGACTTTTAATGTGCTTTTTTTGTGAATTATTTGGATCTTCTGTTTATTAGTTGATTTCAACGTTTAATTTGTACTACGTTTAAATGTTTTAATTCGTATTGTGTATAACTTATTTATCTGTTTTACTAAAACTTCCCCTGTTTAATATTGTCTGCTGCTCCCTAAACCCTGATTCTAATTCTTATAGCCAAATTATTGGCTTCTTTGTGAATATGTTTGAAGAATTTGGAGTGTTTTATTTTTTATTTTAAATAAGCAGACCTTGTTTTCTTCATTGTGTATAGTTGTTAAAAGTTTTGTTTTTGTTTTCATTACTACCATTATACACAATCATTTTTTCAGGCATTTATTTTAGCGTAGACTTCGGAAATATCTAAATTAGTAGTTCTTCATTGCCTTCAAAATTAGCAATGTTATTTCGTCAAATATTGGATATGAAAATCAATTGACTTTGGGTTATAGATATTCCATGTGCTATTAGGAAGCAAAGAAAAGACCTGTAGAGGTAAAGAATTAAGATTTATCAAACATTTATATTTCTGAAAAAAAAAAAAGACCTATGAATTTAAGACTTACTCTGAAATATGTATATAGGGTACATCCTATATTAGGATATAGGACTGATACACTGATATACTGCACAAAAATACCTGGATGGAATCCAGTTGTTTTGTTGAGAAATGAATTTAATTTCACATTCTAACTACTATTTAGCTGAGAGAATATTTGACAGAAGGTGGTTTGAAAAAAAAAAAAAAAAAACTCGTTAGAGGTTGCAAATAATCAAATTTCAATAAAGAAATTTGAAAAGTTGCAAAATATTGAAAACATAAATTTTAAAAGCATTGAAATAATTCTGAAAATTCCAAGGATTTTTTTTTTTTTTTTAGAGTTTTATTTATTTAACATATAGCACACTATCAGAATTTGTGCAATTCAAATTTATTTTCACATAAGTATTGTTGAAAAAATTTTTTAAAACACTTCCTCTTTTCTGCCGTGATTTCTTGATTTATTGATTCTTTACTGCAATATTGAAATCCATAAATTTATTTTAGAAGCGTTCAGCCAATATCGCGTTTCTTCCATCTCCTCCTTGCAAACACTTTCCAAACTTTTCTGCCGTGATTTCCGGATAAGAAGAAAAATAAGATTTTTGATAAATGTATGACCAATAATTAACGAATAACAAAAATGATTAGTGATAATTTGCTACTAGTATAAATTAATTTCAGGATTAGAATTTTCCTAAATATCTATAACAAAGTATAATGAGGGACTTTTGTAACATCTCAAATAATATGAAATTTAATAATTAGTTGACATCAATAATTAATTATGTCAAATATAATCCTTGAAAAAAGAATTAGGTAACGAACTATTTAAAACATTTAATACGTCATTTTTGACAGTGAATCAGTTGATTGAACATAACAAATAATTAGGTTTCAATAAAATTCTTTTAATCTCAAATATATCAAATGTTTTTGTTTATTTTTGTTTAAATTGTTTATTGAAAATCATAACAAAGTGCAAATCTATACCAAATTTTATCAACTTTTAATTAAAGATGTGAATTTTGATTTGTTTTTAGAATTTGATTCAATTCAAAAAAAAAAAAAAAAACAAACCTTTAATATATTAAAATTTTAGCATATTTGAAACTCATGTCAATAGTTCCTTTTTCATTCTTCCTTTTGTTTTTTTCTTTTTTTTTTTTTGCAATACTTAAATATTTTTTTAATTTCTCAATTCTAACATTTTGGTGTTTTTATTGCTTTAAATAAATCAGCAATTTACTTATTAAAGTAATTTAATTAATCTTTTTTCAATTTATATATTAAGAAAAAAGAAATAGTTTTATTATTGTTAAAATTTATCAAATAACTTCCCTTTTTGTTTTCATCATTGTTTTTTTTTTTTTTGCTTTTAACAAAAAATAGAATAAATTTATTGATTTCTGCTTTATAATATTATGAGCTTAAGAAATTGTTATTAACATAACGAATCACCTTGATAAGCTGATAAGCCTGATGAACTACCTTGATAAGCTGATAAGCTGATGAACTACCTTGATAAGCTGATAAGCCTGATGAACTACCTTGATAAGCTGACAAACCTAACGAATTACCTTTATAAGCTAGTAAGCCTAATGAATTACCTTGATAAGCTGATAAGCCTGATGAACTACCTTGATAAGCTGATAAACCTAACGAATTACCTTTATAAGCTGGTGAGCCTAATGGATTACCTCGATAAGCTGATAAGCCTAACTAATTACCTTGATAAGCTGATAAGCCTAACTAATTACCTTGACAAGCTGATAAGCCTGATGAACTACCTTGATCAGCTGACAAACCTAACGAATTACCTTTATAAGCTAGTAAGCCTAATGAATTACCTTGATAAGCTGATAAGCCCAACGAATTATCTTACTTATATGACTAGGAAATTTTAACTACTCAGTAAAATTATCACATTATGCTAATTAATCATTTAAAATCAAATATCAATAATTGCTGTGTTAATTAGCTTTGGCATATTAAAAATTTTATATTTTTTTTTAATAAATAAACATATTTGTCTTAATGAATGGAAAAAGTAATAATTCATAAAGAATGATTGAATAGTTTCTTAATTTTATTAAATTAATTATTCCTTTTTTGTTTTTATTTTAATTATTCCAATTCAGTTATATTTGATTTTTGAGTTTCTAATTTTTTAGATTTTTAAACTGTAAAACTCTTTCATTTATATGAAATTGAGATAATTTAAATGAAATGGCAAATGTAAATTGATTTGACTCAATGAGAGATATTATTTGGTAGAGAATGATGAAATTGATAAAAGATTGGTGTAATAGCACTTGAAAATATGTACGCAGACGTAAAAAGTAAAGTTTGAACGAGGTTTATGCACAAATTGCGAAGTTCTTGCAAAATTAAATTGTTAGGGTGGAAGGAAGGAAAAGGTCGGGAAAGGGTTTTAGGTTAAGCTTAATGGGTATATCTATGTACCTGGATTACTTTACAGGTTAGTGGGTATATTTATGTACCTGGATTACTTTACAGGTTAGTGGGTATATTTATGTACCTGGATTACTTTACAGGTTAGTGGGTATATCTATGTACCTGGATTACTTTACAGGTTAGTGGGTATATCTATGTACCTGGATTACTTTACAGGTTAGTGGGTATATCTATGTACCTGGATTACTTTTTACAGGTTAGTGGGTATATCTATGTACCTGGATTACTTTACAGGTTAGTGGGTATATCTATGTACCTGAATTACTTTACAGGTTAGTGGGTATATCTATGTACCTGAATTACTTTACAGGTTAGTGGGTATATCTATGTACCTGAATTACTTTACAGGTTAGTGGGTATATCTATGTACCTATGTACCTGGATTACTTTACAGGTTAGTGGGTATATCTGTGTACCTGGATTACTTTACAGGTTAGTGGGTATATCTATGTACCTTAATTACTTTACAGGTTAGTGGGTATGTCTATGTACCTGAATTACTTTACAGGTTAGTGGTTACTACTAGTAATGTTACCATTACTTAGTAATAAAATAATAGTGTTGTTGTAAGAGTAATAAATAGTAATATGGTGGTAAAGTATAGTTATAAATAGTAGTATAGTAGTAAAATATAGTAATAAATAGTAGTATAGTAGTAAAATATAGTTATACATAGTAATATAGTGGTAAAATATAGGATTAAACAGTAATATAGTATAAAAAAAGTGATAGTAATAATGTTGCGATCAATTAAATTATTATTAGTAATATATATTTCCTAGTAGATCATTATTATTCATAGTAATAATTTATTTTTTTTTTTGTTCAATTTTAGAAAAAAGAAAAGTTAATTTTGCCCAATTTGCAGGTGTGACTGATTTGCTACGAAAAAGATTTAATGTTACTGGTGTCTCCGGTGATTCGGTGTCTTCGTCTAAGTCGTATTATTCATCGTACACTCTTGGGAAGTGTTTCTTCGCAAGGAAGATTATCGTTAACTTATACCTGTAGGGTTTGTGGTACTCGACAGGTAAATATTTTCAAAGATTTTTGTTTTTTGTTTTGTCCACTTATTCATTTAGTACTTTATTAGAGAGAAGTAGAATAGCTAATTATTCTTGGTAGGTTTATAGTTTGTTGTAGCAATAATTATGATACTGTGTAAGTTGATATCTATGTAAGTTAGTTTGTTAATTAGTTAATGATATGCATAATTGGTGTTTTTGATTTATACATAGTGTAAGATTTGTCAATTTTTGTGTGACATAATGATAGAATTTAAACAGGAAGCATATGATAGGTGGTATGAATTGTAGCTTTAATTTGAAATTCTCAGTAATATCTGTCCAAAGGAAAGTTCGAAAGAAAAAGAAACGAATTTTAAGGGTCCAAAATTTCTTTCCGAGAAGGCATACAAAGAAGGTGTTGTTATTGTAACTTGCGACAGTTGCAAAAATTATCATTTAATTGCTGATAATTTGGGTTGGTTCCCGCAATCCAAAGGTTCAAGAAATATTGAAGAGATTCTCAAAGAGAAAGGTGAAGAAGTGAAAAAAGGCATCGATCTTGTCGATATAGCCAAATGAGGTAACTTTTTAGAAATTCAGTTATTGTTAAATCAAATAATTTGGAAGTATTAACTATAGAAGCATTTACTATTTAAGAAGCTAAACTATAATTAATCGAATAAATAATAATAGTCAGAAAGTTTTTATAAAACGTCTTGCGTGTTTTTTTCTTTTTTGTGAAGAAAATTTTGACATAATCTATACTTTGATTTCATCATGAATGAAAAAGGAAGAGCATTTCAATATCTAATCTTTCATCTAGAATATGTGAAATTAAAATGCTTAGATAATTTTTAAATGTCATGCTTATCATCATGCTCGAAAATTATGTAACAATTTCTTTTCTTTTCCAGTTAAAAATAAAAAAATATGTCACTGTACACATCACATATTTCAACTTCTTCATTACAAAAAGGATTACTTGCATTCGGCTCGGCAGTAACAGCACTTTTAAATCCGATGAGAGCAGGTTATTTTTTTTTTAATTAACTAGAACTTGTATTTTCTATATATCTGTCTAATTTATCTATTTACCGATTTATTATCTCTCTATCGATTGAAATTATTTTGCTTACTGAAGTTAATTCTATGATAGATGATTATTTTCAGATATGGTAGCAACAATGGGTGAAACAACAGCTTTTCGACCGATACTGGAAAAAATTCGTCAACGAATGGAAGGCGATATATGTGGTAGAAAAATTTTGAGGTTTAAATTCTTATATGTCTGAAGGACGGAAGGAATGTGATTTTGTTGCTGTTTTTAAGTCACGAATATCTGATCGTTAGCAATGTTTGCGATCTCATAAATAATTAATTCATTATAATGCCTAGTAAAGAAAAGATAACACTACGTATTTTCAACTTGAAGAAACATTTTCTGGAAAATGAGTTATTTGTAGAGATCGTCCAAGAATAACCAGTGCGACTATTGATTTGAGTTATCTTCGAACACTTCCTCATGGAACACTTGGCAAAGAATATTCCATATTTCTCGAAAAGTTGAATACTACTCCAGACGACCGTCCCACTGTTAAGGTTTCTTTTGTAAATTTTGCAACTAGTTTTTTTTTTTTTTTTTGATAAAATATTTTTTTGTTATTTGAATACTCTGTTAACAATTAAAATCACTCTGAATGAATAATTGAACATTAATGTTGTGAACTTTCTTCAAGTAATTTTGATGAGAAAGGGGATAAATTAAACTAAAGAGTAATTCTGGAAGTCGTAGTATTTGATTTATTTTAAACAATTTTAAATTTAAAAAAAAAAATATTACAGACATATTACATATCATATTACAGACAGAACTTGTATGTTACTTTATCAATTTCTTAAATTCCCAAATTTTAAGCCTTTTTTGTTTTAGTTTATTGATGATGACGATTTAGTTTACGTTATGCAGAGGTATCGCGAGACGCATGATTTCAATCATTTAATTTTGCAAATGAAAACGACTTTGCTTGATGAGGTAATTATCGTGTTACTCAAAGAATGATAATCAGTGATGTCTAAATTGGTAATTTTGACATTAAAAGTGTACTGATTAAATCTATGGTTTCTATAATTTCTGATGTTCTGAGATTGAGAATTTAAAAAAGCAAAATTAACGCATAATTATGACACTTCAAATATCTTTTTTTTTTTTTTCTTGCGAGACATTGTGAAGAAATTTTCAAAGGTTTTAGAAATCAGAAAGTATGGTTGCATTGCGTACTGGACACAAAGACTTATTGTGATCCAAATGTATATTATTCTTTATCAAATGACAGTAACTATATATGTTTTATTAGTTGGTGTAATTGAAGTATTGATAATTACATCTCTTGTAATGTATAACTATCTGAAATTATTATTTTCTAAAAAATAACTATTATTTTCAGATCGCTGTTAAATGTTTCGAAGGCATACAGCTTGGTTTACCGATGTGTATTCTTGGTGGTGTATTTGGTGGTTTGAAATTAGAGCCAAAGTAAGTTAATTGTCGCGATTGCTTGAAAAGAAATCTAACTTATGGAATTATTTTTGAAAAAAAAAAAAAAAAAAGATTTGCTTATGGAATATTTTTGAGAAAAAAGGAAATACATATGTTAATTTCAAAATGATTTAAAATGCTTTCAGGCGTCAACGTGCTTTTATCCAGCAATATTTACCATGGTGTGTGGAACAGGCGGTGAATTCACGATTACTAATTGCTGTTGACTGGGAGAATCATTTCGAGAAACCAATTTCTGAATTGCAGAAAACTTACTCAATCACTCCTTTTATTTGCTAATTTTCCACTAATCATTTCGAGAATGCCTGCTAAAGTAATTCTTATCCAACAAATTATTGTTCATCATAGCTTTCTTTATTTCAATATGAATTATCTAAATTATCTACATGCTTATGTCATGCTTTCTTGAATACGATGAAAAGCATTTTTTTTTTTTTTTTTGCATACATCTTAATTTGTCGCATTTGCTATTTATGTGACATTTTCTTTGGAAATAAGATTATAAATGTTACACATACTATCCTAAAATTCTTTGGATTATACTCAGTGATAGTTAATCGCTAAAACTGCATTAATTCTTTACAAGCTTTTTCTTTTTTTAATTTTTTTAAAAAAAAAAGTTCCTTGTAAACAGTATGTGTTTGGATTTATGCTGCTTTTGCTTTCATTTTATTCACTGTTCATCAGTTGTGCTTTCAACCGAAATCTAACTGTTACAGTTTATACAAATGGATTGTTTTTTTTTTTTTTTTTTTTTTCCTCATTTTAAAGATATATGAGAAGCTAGCTATTAAATGTTCATAGGAATATTCTTCTTTTGTAAACACAATTAATTCAAGAATTGTATACATTCTTTATTCTATCTAAAATGTAAGTAGATTTGAATTTCCTAACCGAAGCTTCTCGAAATGCAAAATTATGTGCCTGATTTTTCATTTAAATTGCTAAAAATTATCATTATTCTTTTCTGGCATTTATAGTGTGCATAAAATTAATAATAAAATTAATTGAATTCTTTTTATAAAATTCATTGGCTTATTTTTTGCAAAACCGATGTATTTGGTACGTGGAAGTATAAAAATTTTTACTCCAAACCATGGTTTCATTTTCATTTCACTTTTTTATTTGTAGCTGAGGAGATGTTAGGAGATTTATCTGAATTATTTCGAAGCATTGATTTACATACAGACTTGTATGTGACGTACGCTTATTGACTTACATACGGATTTGCATATGACGTACGCTTATAAGCTATTCAATGGTTATTAGATTTTTAACTTTTCAGTTTTATTTTTCCTTTTCAGGTGTGTTAAAGTTTGAAAACGTGAATATATAAAGAATGGTACAACATAATCTAAAGAAGAAAGTATCATTACCAGGTGGTGTAAAGCAGAAGAGAAAAATGAAAACTGCAAAACAAGGTCCCAAGAAAGGTCATCAATTGATAATCGCTCCAAAGAAGCCTGCTGCAATACAGCAAGCTAAAATTGATACAGAGATAACGCGAACAATAAACGACAAAAATGAACAGTTGCTAAAAGGTCGCGCGAATAAAGATGTTGGTCGAACTACTACTTCTACCTAATGTTTCCATTATAACTATTTCAATTCATTAATTGTAGTGTTAATTAATTCTAAACTGAATATATAACATTTAATTTTGATAAAAGTTAAATGAAATGTAATTTAACATTTAATGCATTTTGAAATGAATGGAAATAAATTGCAATGTAATATATTTCACATTTAGATAAGAGAAATTTTATTTTAAAACATTCCGCATAATACAGAATGAAAATTACTATCTTCAAAACTTGAAATGATAGCAAATTTTAGAATGGGAATGTTTTTTTTTTTTTTTTTTTTTTTCATATATTATCAATTTAGTATTGGTATCTGGAATGTTCTTCAGAGAGAGAGAGAGAGAGAGGGAGAGAGAGACAAGTTGATATTATATTTCTTTCAGTCCACTTCATTTGTCGCATTTATTGCGCTGTGTGATTATTTGGGATTTACTTTAGAAAGTAACCAGTCTTTGAGATAAATGTCTTTTTATGTTTTGTATTAAATGTTTTCAGCGATTCTTTTTCAATGTAATTAGAAATGTTTGCTAGGAATCACTAGGATATCCCGGGAATGGGTAATTCGAATATAGCATGATGGTATGACCGAATGTGCACCCGGTGATGAGAGAATTTTAACTACATCAACCACGATGCACATCCTGAAGCACCATCAATCGATTTACCTTGCTCAGGTAAGGTAAGGTAAGGTAAAGTAAGGTAGAGTCAATCGGATGAGAAAGCTATCATTTTAATTAAACAATTTGTTATTGGGAAGAAATATTTGCGATGAGATTTTATTTTGGCTGAGCGGAATAAGTGACCAACATGTCGAGAGGAAGACGAAATGTCGAATGAAATGCTTAGTGCACAAATGTTGATCGAGAGAAGAGCGGGGAGGGTTGACCTCGAGGTCACGCGATGACCAATGGTCAAAAGCAACGCGGTTCTGCCCTTTTCATTCCAACTATTAGAGAGAGAAAGAGAGAGAGAGAGAGAGAGAGAGAGATGACATATAGAAGATTGTACTCTAACATTCTGTGATCTCTGTAGTAAACAGTAGTGTATGGAAGGAAGGGTAAACAGAAATTGGACAAATATAATTTTAATGTCTGGAAAAGAGTGAAGTAATATTAGTAATAGCAGTTTTTGTTATGAAGGTCACATCAAAAACTAATGAAAGGTCAAATCTTATTTTCGTTTCCTTCCTTTCCTTGACCTTTGGCCTAATTTCCAAATCTTCTCTCCTTCCATCTCAAAACCTTTCACCACTAAATAATACAAATTGCAGAAGTATACATTCATATATTGATAAAATTACTTTTACAAAATAGTATTGAAAATAAAAACTTGAAAATATTTTTTCCAATCTTTACAATATATTTGTCAATGTTAGCATAGTAAGCTAAAAGTGTATATATAACTATGAATATCACAGATACAACTCTCTCTCTCTCTCTCTCTCCCCCTCACACATTTATATTAGCCTGAAATATTAGGCCTAGTGAAGGATATTTTTATAAGGCCAAATAAAAGTTAAAATTGACACTGAATAATTGATTAGACAGAAATACAGGATGATAACATATCTAACGTAAAGTTAATATTTAATTCAACGTTTTGAATATGAAAAAGAATAATGATAATATATTGTTAGACAGGTAAATTGAATTTGCTTTATTTATTTAAAAATAGAAATTTCATATTTTTTTTTTGATTATTAAAAATTTTCCACACATATTTAAATTTAAACTTTTTTTTTTTTCTTAACAATTTCTGCTGAATTCATTTTTGCAAACAATATCCTTAGCATAATTAACTGAATAAAGTTTATTCTGATTATAATTTATAAATTTTCATTTCATAAAAGATATTCATAAGATAACTTAAAAAAAAAAAAAAAAAAAAAAAAAACTAAAGAGAATTTGTTAAAATTAAAAATGATTTCAACTAATAAGTATGCAAATACATAAGTTAAATATATGGATGAAATTTCTATTTTCAAAATAAATCAAACTAATCATTATTTAGGGGAATTGTGCTTTAAAAAAAGAAAACTACAAAAAAAAAAAAAGAAAGAAAATTGGATTTAAATTAAAATTGGAAATGATTTAAAATTAAATTTAAAAATGATTTCAACTAATTAAATATAGACGAAATCTCCAAGTATATAGAAAAAAAAAAAAGTATTAAATACATGAATGAAAATTTCTATTTTCAAAATAATCAAATTAATCTAAAAAATCATTGTCTGAAAGAGATACTGATAAACTACAAGTACTTTTGAAAATTTCTGTTAAATTTCAATTTCACTTAAAAAACTTCAGAAATGAATCTCCAAAAACAAAAAAAAAATCTCCAGTAATTACTACTTCACAATTTTAATGCTATAGCAATTCTTTTGTTATCAATAGCAATTCCAATTTAAACTAATACTTCCAATAAAAATTAAAATTTTTTCTAAAATTACAATCTTTGAAAAATTTAAATGAAATAATCAATGTTAGAAATGATAGCTTTCACTTTTAAATAATTAATCTTTATCGATTCATTGTATAAATTTTTAAATTATTTTCAGTGAAATTTTTTTTTTTTTTTTTTGCAATGATAAAAAAATTATTAATTTTGGTGACACATTGTTAACTTTTCAATTGTTTTATTTAATTTGATACATTTATTATTGTGATATTCAAGCATTTGATAATGATAAAAGTGATAAGTGTTTTTATGTTTATTAAATATTTTCAGCGATTCTTTTTCAATGTAATTAGAAATGTTTGCTAGGAATCACTAGGATATCCCGGGAATGGGTAATTTGAATATAGCATGATGGTATGACCGAATGTGCACCCGGTGATGAGAGAATTTTAACTACATCAACCACGATGCACATCCTGAAGCACCATCAATCGATTTACCTTGCTCAGGTAAGGTAAGGTAAGGTAAAGTAAGGTAGAGTCAATCGGATGAGAAAGCTATCATTTTAATTAAACAATTTGTTATTGGGAAGAAATATTTGCGATGAGATTTTATTTTGGCTGAGCGGAATAAGTGACCAACATGTCGAGAGGAAGACGAAATGTCGAATGAAATGCTTAGTGCACAAATGTTGATCGAGAGAAGAGCGGGGAGGGTTGACCTCGAGGTCACGCGATGACCAATGGTCAAAAGCAACGCGGTTCTGCCCTTTTCATTCCAACTATTAGAGAGAGAAAGAGAGAGAGAGAGAGATGACATATAGAAGATTGTACTCTAACATTCTGTGATCTCTGTAGTAAACAGTAGTGTATGGAAGGAAGGGTAAACAGAAATTGGACAAATATAATTTTAATGTCTGGAAAAGAGTGAAGTAATATTAGTAGTAGCAGTTTTTGTTATGAAGGTCACATCAAAAACTAATGAAAGGTCAAATCTTATCTTCTTTTCCTTCCTTTCCTTGTTGACCTCTGACCATTCACATTTTTTTTTATCTTCTCTCCTACTTTCTATCTCAAATCACAAAAAAATTGATCCATTTTGACCATTTGATACTAATAACAAAAGTATACATTTATTTTACATTCAAATTTAAAAAAAAAAAAAAATTCAAGTGCTAATGAAATGATTTATAAAAAAATTGGAAATAAAATTTTGAAAACAATTTTGATATTTTATTTTAAATCCAATTTTGAATTTGAATTTATTGTGGAAAATTCAAATTTTCATTTTAGTAAACATAACTCTTTACAAGCAAGCAATTACTTGATTTTGCAATAAAATTTCATAAATTTTAATAACAATTTATATTTAAAAATATTTAATAAATCAATCAAATTTCTTATAGTTTCTTAAATTCATTTATTATACCTTTATTTCTACCTGTACAACTTTTTTTTTTTTTTTCTATCCCTCTCCTGCAGTACGATACAATAAAAATATTTTTAAAATATTTGAAATTTTAAAAGTGTTAACAGCTGATCTTTTAGTAATATTAATCAAAAGTAAAAAATGAAAAAGTAGAAAATTTCGGAAAAAAGAAAAAAGTTCAAAAATAAATTCATATTTCATTTGGTACAATAAAAGTAGTAAATATTGGTTTCTTGAAAACTTCAATTAAAAAAGTTTCTAAATCGTTTGATAAAATCATTGTATTTTCCATTTCTAAATATTACCAAAAAAAAAAAAAAAAAACAATTAATTTCAAAAGAAATAAAAAATAAAAAAGAAATTCAATTAATTTCAAAAGAAAAAAAAAAAAAACAAAAGAAATTCAAAAGAATTAAATATTTTTTTGATAAGCGTAATATAATGCATTGAATGGAAATTAAATTTAATTAAATTTAATGGAATAATTATAATAAAATATATTTTTTTTTTAATGATTTTATAAATAAATGAATTAAAATAACAAAATTATTGATAACACAATTTTAATTTCATCCTTCTTTTGATTTTGATTCTTCCACTTTCAAGAATTTATCATTGAGTCCTTTTGGAACTAACGATTGAAACACCTTAAAAACTATCTTTTTTTTTTTTTCACATTTTGAAGATAAAATAATAATTTTTTTTTTTTTGCATCCTTAAAATTTCTAAAATTTGAAATTTCAATTACGCATATTTATTTAAAAAGTTAAATTTGCTAAAAAAAAAAAAAAAATTTGATACAAAGTTTAAGATTACATATGAACTGAACTAATATTATATATAATTTAACATTTCAGAATAGATTAACTTTATGAAATAGTCTTTACTAGTAAAAAATAAAAAGTTTATTGTTGATTAAAAATTTAAATTTAGAAAAAAAAAAAGAAATATCAATTTAAAGTTGACGAGAGATTACCACTGTATATTGCTTTTCTTATAAAATGATAATTTTGCTTTTATAGAAATTCATATTAATAAATAAATCTGTCTTTCTCATAAATTTTATTCAAATAAAATTTGTATTTTTTGATTTGTAACAAATTTAATTTCTTATTAAAAATTATATGCCTTTTTCTTTTTTCTATAACTTAAATTTTAAAAAGTATTTTGAAAAACCTGATTTGAACTTTAAAAAGTGTTTTGAGAAACCTGGTTTAAATTTTAAAAAGTGTCTTGAAAAACCTGATTTAAATTTTAAAAAGTATTTTGAAAAACCTGATTTAAATTTTAAAAAGTGTCTTGAAAAACCTGAATTAAATTTTAAAAAGTGTCTTGAAAAACCTGAATTAAATTTTAAGAAGTGTTTTGAAAAAACCTGAATTAAATTTTAAAAAGTATTTTGAAAAACCTGATTTAAATTTTAAAAAGTATTTTGAAAAACCTGATTTGAATTTTAAAAAGTGTTTTGAAAAACCTGATTTAAACTTTAAAAAGTGTTTTGAAAAACCTGAATTAAATTTTAAGAAGTGTTTTGAAAAAACCTGAATTAAATTTTAAAAAGTATTTTGAAAAACCTGATTTGAATTTTAAAAAGTGTTTTGAAAAACCTGATTTAAACTTTAAAAAGTGTTTTGAAAAAAAAAAAAAAAAAAAAAAAAACCTGATCATAAAGTTTAAATGCAGCACATTGAGCTTTTTTCATCAATGGTCGTTCTCTGGTCCAAATTCGATGAACAAGTAAAATAGTTGTTCCAAATGCAAATAAACTGAATAATCCTGGTAGAAGTAGCACCAATATGAATAGTCCACACTTAATTCAAAATTGTTTTTCTATTAAATTTAAAAAAAAAAAATTTAAAAAAAAATAAAATTTGAAATCAAATGAAATGAAATGAAATTTTTTTATGCCCAACAAATAATTTAATATTTTATAGTAAAACTAACCATTTTAATTGCTAACAAAATTTTTTTTATTTTTTTGAAAAGAAAATAACAACAACAACCGTTTTTGAAAATAAATTTTTATTAATAGCAAAAATTTTTCTTTAATTTTATTTTTTTATCTTAAAAATTACAACAACAACAACAACAAAAAAAAAAAAGTTTAGTAATGTAAAAATTTACATATATCAGATAAAAAAAAAAAAAAAATCTTTTTTACATATATAATATTTGATACATTTAACATTTCTTTTTTTTTTTTTTTCTAGTAATTTTTAAAAGTTTTTAACTATTTAAATAATTTAAATAGCGAATATATTGTTTTCATTTGTAATAGTTTTAATAATTTACATTGTTTTTTTTTTTGTTTGTTTATCGGATAGATTTTAAATAATTAAACTTTTGTAAATTTTTTCTAAAAAAAAAAAATCGAATAGATTTTAAATAATTAATTCACAAATAATTCTCACTAATTTATTCATTAATCCAATTATAGAGACAGTTGGATAAATTTTTTTTAAAAAGTATTAAACTAAAATTACAAACAAATTTTACATTTTATAGGCAAAAAAAAAAAACTTAGAAATTTTATTAAACACATACGATAACATTAATTATGCCAAATTTTTTGTTTTTGTTTTGTTGTTGTTGTTGTCTTTTTTTTATTTGTTTTTATTTGTTGTTTATTTTAACAAATTTTTATTTTTTTTTTTAAAATTTCTATTGCTTATATTTTAATTTTTACAGTTTTGCTTACTTGAAAATTGAAAATTCTCTCTGTCACACTCTTAAATAGATATTTAAAGCTACTGTCAAATTAGGCAACCATCAAATGCTATAGAAGAAGCCGGAACCGGAATTGAACCGGTATACAAAAGGACAACCAGGCTCCTCCGTATAAACCATTCCTGCTACCTAGCCGCTTTTTTTTTTTTTTTTTTTTTTGTTATCCATTATATATATTTGTTAATTCTTCTTTTTAAAAAAAAAAAAATATTAATTAAATTCTTAATTAAATAATTTTATTAATCAAATTTTTTAAATATTAATTAAATATTGATTTTTCATTTTTTTTTTTTGATTAAAATATTAATTTGCACTTTCAACTAATTTGCTACAATCAATGAAAAAGAATTAAGTAAAAAGCAAGTTTTATAATATTTTGATTAAAGTACTGTTCAAAGTTTATTTGCCATAAAATTTTCAATATTTTGATCAAACAAATGTCACAAAATATTTTGCACTAATATTCTATCATCAAAGTTTGTAACATTTTTATAAAGTTTTTTTTTTGTTTACTCATAAAATGATCAATAATAGGTGCTGTGACAATAAAAAGTTGGGAAAAATTAGTGTTAAATGAAACTTTTCTTGAATATCAATAATTTTTCTAAAATTAAAATTTATAGCATTTGGCAAAATTCTTATTCAAAAATTAATAAACAATGTGAATATCGATGAATTGCTAGATAATCCTATTTGAATTGATAATTAAACTTAAAATTAAACATTTTTTTTTTTCAAATTATTATAACAATTAAACATTAAGATATTTTCAAATTATTATAACAATTAAACTTAAAATTGAACTGTTTTTTTTTTTTTTTTTAAATTGTTATAACAATTAAACATTAAGCTATTTTCAAATTGTTATAACAATTAAACTTAAAATTGAATTGTTTTTTTTTTTTTAATTGTTATAACAATTAAACTTGAAATTAAACTTTTTTTTCAAATTTATTATAAAATTATCGATTTGAAAAGTATAATCACACGTAATAGTGTAAAATCATGTATTTTTGATTCATTTAAAGTTTAAAAATGAATAAATGCAATGTATTTTTTATTTTTAAATAATTGCATGAGTAAAGGGTTAATAGAGAATTGATAAATAAGATAGTTAAAAAAGTTATCATAAATTATGAGTAGTTATTTAATTCAATTAGAAAAAAAAAAGTTATGTAAAAATTTAATTATTGTAAAAGTATGTCACAGAGATATATGATTAGCCATTAAATGCTTTGACAGTAATTCATGAACAAAATCTTTTGAAGAAATTAAATAAATAAATAAGTAAATAAGTAAATAAACAATTAAGCGATGAGAAATTATTCAAACTGATCTTCATTTTAAATTATTTTTTCAAATTATTGTTAGTAGAGGTAGGTATATTATTAACTACTTACAATTACAATTATCAGTGGAATAATATATCAGTTCATTTATCACAATAATAATAATTATAATTAATAATAAATATGTAAATAAATAAATAAATAAACAAACAGCGTTGTAAAAAATAAAAATTCCGATGTGCTATAGATATTAAAAATATAAAATCAACACATAGATATTAGACTAAGATATATTATTACTACTATTTCATTGTTTATTACTATCATTATTATTATCATTATCATTATTACTATACTATTATTATAGTTATTATCACTATTATTATTATTATTATTATTATCATCATTATTATTACTACACTATTATTATTATACTATTATTATTATACTATACTATCATTATAATTATACTATTATTATTATCATTATTATTATTACTATACTATTATTATAGTTTTTATCACTATTATTATTATCACTATTATTATTATTATCATTATTATTACTACACTATTATTAATATACTATTATTATTATTATACTATACTATCATTCTTATTTACTATTATTATTATTATTATTATTATTATTATTATTATTATTATTATTATTTGTTTTATTTCATCTTCATCCACACATCATAATTTAAAAAAAAATTATTTAAATTTTCATATAACTTTTAAAAGTCATTTTTCTCATTTCATTCTTTTCCAAATTATTGAAGAATCATTTTTCTTCTCGATCGATGATATAGCAAAAAGTTTAAAGTTAAATTATATAATCCTAACTTATTTAAAAAATCTTTTCAAAATACCAAATCTAACTGATTTCTCATCAAAATATATAAAAATTATTGAAAAAAAAAAATATATAAAAAAAATTTTAGCTAATTGTAAATAAAAGAATGGGTGAAAAAGTAAGGAATGGGTAAATATTGGGAAGCGTAGGAGAAGGAATAGCTAAGAGTGAAGGAAAAGGATGCTTGTCTGCTCTAACCTGAAATGAAAGTTACTCAAAAATAGCATGTTTTTACTCTAACCTGAAATGAAACTTGCTTAAAAAATAGCTTGTTTTTATTCTAACCTGAAATAAAAGTTACTTAAAAAATAGCATGTTTTTACTCTAACCTGAAATGAAAGTTACTTAAAAATAGCATGTTTTTACTCTAACCTGAAATAAAAGTTACTTAAAAATAGCTTGTTTACTCTAACCTGAAATGAAAGTTACTCAAAAATAGCATGTTTTTACTCTAACCTGAAATGAAAGTTACTTAAAAATAGCATGTTTTTACTCTAACCTGAAATAAAAGTTACTTAAAAATAGCTTGTTTACTCTAACCTGAAATAAAAGTTACTTAAAAAATGGCATGTTTTTACTCTAACCTGAAATGAAAGTTACTTAAAAATAGCTTGTTTACTCTAACTGAAATGAAAGTTACTTAAAAATAAATGAGCTAATAATAGAAGAATAGTAGATTAAAAGTATGACGAAAATTTTTCATATTGTTTTGGAAATTTCCTTAAATGAATCAATTTCAGGTAGCAGAAATGTTAACTGATAGTGAAATTTATTTAGTCAAATTGATAATTATTAGTGTGAATTGTTCAAAAAAAAAGATGGATTAGGTTTTTTTTGAAGGATTTTGCTAAATTGAAAAATTTGATTATCAAATTTTTTTTTAAATTTTTATTCAATACATTGATATTCATTGTTGTCATCAATCAACTCAATATTGCAATGAAATTAAGAAAGAAAAGTGAATGATATATTATAATTGAGAGATAGTAAATAATGAAAAACATTAAAAATAATATTTTGTATTTAATAATCAAATAAGAATTGAAAATATTTAAAATTAATGAATAAAATTACAGTATCCTATCTTTTTTTTCTTAAATTAAATTTAAAATATGAAAGTTAAATGGGTAAATTTTAAATGATTGCACTCGTTTTTTAATTTTTCGTTCAATATTTTTTTTTTTTTTCCATTTTCATTTCATTTTTTTATAAATGAGAAAGAAACAATAATCGAAGCAAATTGCTTTTGATTGATTTCTGTTTCATCTCAAAATAGTGTCAGCCATTCAAAAAAAAATTAAAACTATTAGTAAATGAATGAAATTTATTTCAATGAAATCTATTTCATGATATAATAATTGACAGATAAATAACGAAATATATAATGAAAACATGAAAAATAATAATTTGTATTTAATAATCAAATAGGAATTGAAAAATAAGAATTAAAAATGATTGTTAATGATACAAATATACTTAATTGTGTTTTTCAAATTTATCTAATAAGCCAATAAGACACAAACAAAGAATGAAATATGCATTTGTTGTTTAGTGTATTAATGACACAACCACCTAATTTCAATTTAGATTCATTTATAATTCAAAATCAATATTTTCACTTCCACCAAACAATCATTTAAAATTTACCCATCTAACTTTCATATTTTACATTTAATTTAAGAAAAAAAAGGAATACTGTAATTTCATTAATTAATTTTAAATACTTTCAATTCTTGTTTGATTGTTAAATACGAAATATACTTTTGCTCCATTCTTCTTCTTCCATTCTCGAAAAGTAATACGGAATCATTGTCAAATAAAGATTAAAAGTTCGACAGGTAGAGAAGAGGAATCTCTTTAGCAGTCCACATGTTCATAAGATTTCAAATTGTAAGGATTTATGTGTTAGTTTCAAATAAAAGTGAAATGATTATTTGATAGTTCAAACACTTTGAAACTTTAAAATTAACTAATAAAATTTAACAATTCCAATAAAAAAAATTAGTAAGAAAATTATATTTTTTATAACTTTCATATAATAAGGAGAAAAGTGTGAAAGAAAGAAAATTATCAAAGAAAAAGTAATAAAATTGATGAAAAATGAAAAACAAAGAAGCAATTATTAAGCAATTGTAAATGATATTTTTGCCTATTGAAATACTAAATTAAAATGAAAAGTGGAAAGAACGAATTATTTCAGTGAGCGCCGCACATCGTCGATTATTACTTTCATTTATAATTTGAGAATTACAAATTGGTACTAAAAAATTAGAACAGATTAATTAAGATGACAAAATGGCAGCTGTGCCATTTTAACTGCAAAAAATAGCTGTGAAATGTCCGAAGGTTATTTTTTAGTAAATTGTCTGAAGTCCATATGTTTCATCTTTGTTCGCTTTCTTGTTTCCATTCTAAATTATTTCGCATTTTCTTTTTCCTTCTTTCTTTCTTTCTTTCTTAACAAATGCAAATAGCATTAGAAAGAAATGAAAATTAGCAAAGCGACGTTTAACTTTTCATTTTCCTTTGTCAAATTTAATTTTACAAATTCAAATTTCTCCAATATGCTCCACCCTAAATGATTACAATGCTATTTGCAACGGATAAATAACTGACTACACAGATGTTAGTAATACTTTTCTTACAGCTATTAATATTTTGTTTAATTCTCGTATCATTTCACTTCCAAGCAACTTTTCCTGATTACTGCTTCCCGATAACCGGATGACATTCTCTAATCCGTCGTCTTTTCTCGAATTTTTCAAATATTTATCCGTTCAGCATTTCATATTTACCACCTTCCATTTAAGATCCATACTCTTTTTTTGAAATTATTGAAAATTTCAACGAAACAACTATTTGCCCCTATGTCACATTTGTCCGGTAGTGTCGTTGTTTCAGTCATTTTCGACACATATAAATCGAAATTAATGAAATTAAAAAATTCTTTCGGTATTTTCAACAAATTAAAAGCAATTGTTCCATTTTTAAGCATTGATACCAATGACGACGATAAATGTTGAAATTTCGGATAATTTAAAAAGGATTGACCAATGGGATTGGCCACTCAATAAGAATGACGGCAAAGTAAAAGTCGTTAACACAGCTGAAAAATTTGAAGTCGTTCTCGAAGCCGTGTATTTTCAACCGAACGATATCGAAGTATGTCGTCGTTCATTTGCACTTTTGATCGTTGCCTAAAATTTGTTACATTTGAAAGATCAAATAATTTTATTAAATAATTTAAATCAATTTAGGGAATTCCACTCAAAAAATACTCCAACTATTGCTGAAAATAACCAATCATTCTGTGTTTAGGTTAAAGTAATCGGTGATCAGTTAGTTGTCCGATGCTTCAGAGAACCAAAAGAAGGAGAAATCGGTGAAATTAGACGAGAAATTAGTCGAAGCTACAATCTGCCCTCAGACATAGAAATTCAAACATTAAAATCGAGACTTACAACCAAAGGTCATCTTGTTATTACAGCCGACAAGAAAAAATAAAGATTCCACTCGATCTTAACATTTGCATATTTTCTAGACAGCAACTTAATTTGTCTTAATTGAGAGAGTTAAAATAATACTATTTAATTTGAATTTGTCAGGTATGTAAGAAATGTCATTGTAACCTATCACAGATTAAGTAACTGAGGAAAGTAATATGTGACACACAAATGTCTGTCACATTAATTGTTACAGTTGTCACCTCAACTGGTGATAGTAGCGAACTTCTGATATGTAATAGATACACAGAAAAGTTTCTTGTTAAATGCTACTCATTTCTAATTTATCTACAAACTTTCTTCTTCCTTTATGTCTTTCATACTTTCATATGCAAATATCTTTCAAATAAAACAGTCAAAACAGTAATTAGTATTTGCAATCGTATGGAAAAACCTATGAATTCAAGCATAAAGTTTGTCAATTTTGATGAAAAAGTTAGAAAATTAGACGCAAAGTTTAATTGTTCACGTCGAAATGAATTTTCAATAAATATGCGAAAGGCAGCAATCGATACACAATGAAGTAATTAGTGATAAATAATTCAATAGTTTTCAGTGCTATAATTTTAAAAGATGCCAAATTTTTATTAAAATCACAGAATAACCTTGAGAAGTAGTACAAATTAATTAAGTAGCATTAATTAGTGAAATGTAAGTGAAGAAAGGATGGAGATCTAGAAAAGATCAAAATACAAATAGATAAATTGAATGCATAAATAAAACAAATACGAGGAAGAAAAGAGAATTCTTCCTTTATAAACTTTTATAAACAAAAGTAATGGAAAAGTAAACACCTGATAAATCTCAATAAGTGATAATTAGTTAGGCATGATAAGTGATAATAATAATAATCCTAGTAGAAATCACAAGTCAGTAACCAAACAAACGAAAGCAGTAATACAGCAAAGAAAGACAAATATGAATGATATTTAGTAAGTCAGTTAGTTAGTTTAACAAGGATTAAAGATCAGTTATAAATAAGTGAAATAATGATTGATCAAAACGAATTGATCTGTTCGTTCCTTTTTGCGCCATTTTGCTCGCCTATGTAATAGCTATCTTCTTGATTGCATTCCTGATCCGGGGCGACAAAATTTTCCTGAATGTAATGTAGCACAAACAGTAAAACATTATTTTATATAAAGCGTGACACAGTGAATTACAACATTTTTCTCACGTTAATGACTTAAACTTGCAATCTACGTGAAAACTCCGTCAAAAAAAGAAACAAAAGAAATCAAATAATACAATGATAATGTATCATTTCTTCCTCAGTAATTCGAATTTCATAAGAAGTTTCATTAAGTCATATTTGAAAGATCAAAAAGATGACTACCTGTGTCTCGTATAAAATTGCCATGATTTCTTCGCGCGGAATAACAGAGCTACCCTGAGCATTCTGACAAAGCAATTTAATTTTTCGCACCTTGTCGTGATAAAAATGTCTTTGATTACGAAGTATTCTTACATTCTCCTTTAATTCCTGAATCTGAAAAGATCTGCCGTAAAGACAACTAAAACTTTAGCCAAATTAGGAACGTTTACAAATAAATTATGCAACGAAGAAGAGAAGAGTGATTATTGCCTCACATCGGAGATCTGTTTTAGCACAAGTAAATATAACACTAAATATAGGTCACGTTTAATTATAGTTACGCTGGTAATTCTTTTCTTAATCATCAATTGAAAAATCAGCAGAACTTACCATCAGTTCATATTCACGTTGCAGAGTGATGGTATTTGGAATTTCAGCTGCAATGTTTCGACCAGAACTACATGGCTCTCCTGAAAATTATCAATGAATTTAAAAAAGATTAAGAAATATATAAAACTCTACATCATAGCACAAGAAAAGTTAATATTGCTAAATTTAAAATGTAATAAATTAAAATTTACTTCTCGTTGATGTGGCAAAAGAATTATTTCTGGCAATCTTATGAGCTTTTGATGGAACTGGTCGGGATGATGCTGTCCAACTTGCCGGAAGTGGCTAAAAACATAAAAAATTCATAAATCTAAGAATAGCAACAATCACGCGTATAGGAACAATGTTCATAATAACACTGCCAGTTTTGGTAAACTAATGAGAAAATCAGATAACAAACTTCGTTATTTCTAGCTCGCAATGCGTCATACTGACGACCGTCATAATTCGCATCAAAAAATTTCTTAAACCATTGCAAAAATTCAAAATTGTCCTGGAATTTACATCGCAGCAAACGTTCCACTGGTACTCCCTGAAGTCATTTTTGATATCTGAATATGTAAAAATGAACTGAAAATTTAGAAGATTAAAAAACATAATGCCATGGCTTTTTCTTAATTGAATATTACTACAAAGATAAAAAAAAAGATTTGTTAATTGAATATAATTATAGAAATGGAAAAAAAAAGTTGAAACGTAAAGAATGATCAAAAATAAATGACATAACAAATGAATTAAGGGAATGCCTCATCGTTTCATTCAAACCTTTCAATATCAAAAAAAAAAAAAGAACATGAATTAATGACTTTTATGCCATATTTTGTATTTAGGATCAAGATTTAGAATCCTTTTTCAATACACCTTATCGATCATTCAAGAAATGAAGTGAGATACTGATAGTAAATCAATCCTTCTATTTTTGTTTCATCATCTTTATTATTCAATTCCTTCTACCATTTTTCTATATGAGAAATATTACAATAAAAACTACAGCCTAGTTTTTCTGAACCCCGTCCAACCATTCAACCATTAGTAGCAAAAACAATAAACATAGAGAAAAAAAAATTAATGAAATATTAAATCAACTGGAAACCATCCATAAATAATACACTAGTGTTATCATTGTGAAAAAGAACGAGAAACATGATATTAAATTTACATTTACCTTTTTAACTCCTAATTCCTTCCAAACTGTTTGCAGCATACGCCAATTATTGATCCAATCAACTTCATTTCGCGAATTCCACTTCACTTTTTTCAAAGAAATTTTTCCTGGGAAAAGCAATTCTGTTAGCTGACAATAAGCAGCACCCGAAGACAACTCCTCAATGCGTGTGAAATTAGCCTATAAAGAAAGTAAGAAATTGTGAACATGGAACCATATAAACAAAAAAAAAAAAAGTGAAATTCTATAAATACATCTATCAAAATGTTCTTTATCAAAAAATATTTCCGGATAGTTCATCTCCTAACAGCTATAACATTTCATGCCGAAGACTGCCGGACAAAAGTTACAATTTTCTCAGTTAATTCGATTGCTGCAATTTGTTGAGCATTTAGCATATAAATCATTTAATCGAATAAAAAATCAATAAATTTTCATCTCCGTTTAAATCAAAAAAAATTTCGGTAAATATTGTCATTACCCGTAAAAAATTATTGACAAACGCTAAAAGCTCATTTCTTGAACATTGTTCGAGTGTTGCTGATGTTGCATACACATTTACAACCATTGCAATGGTCAAATTGCTAAAATTGCATCAAAAATAATTAATGACAAATAAAATAAATAAAATAATATAACTTGAAAAAATTTTTTCAATTTTAAGATTAAATAAAATTAAGCAAAATGAAATTCTGACGAAAAGAATGATACTTGATGCATAGAAAAGCTTAACATTAAACTATTAATTATCAGATTTAATTTCTCAAAATTAAATATAAAACAAAGATTAAACTCATTTATAAATTTTCATTATCAAATTCAAAGGTTAAACTTATACCCACCGCTAATTCTACCCGAAATAAACCGAACAATGACAAAAGCAACGAATGAATACAAAAGTATGAACCAATCGCATTAATAAATTAAACGGATCAATTCACGGCCGAATTATTGGTCGTACACTTCCATAGCGCTACCCGCAACATTTTCAATTTTTCTCTCTCTCTCCCTTTCTTTCCCTCTCTCTCTCTCTTTCCCTTCTCGATTTCAAATTAATTTTCATATGCTAATTTTGTAACAAAACAAACTTTCCTGTCTATGCCATTTATAAATAATTATTTAAAAAAAGAAAAATGATACATTATCGATGTATCATTTGATTCCTTTTCTTTTGTTTCTTTTTTTGACGGAGTTTTCACGTAGATTGCAAGTTTAAGTCATTAACGTGAGAAAAATGTTGTAATTCACTGTGTTACGCTTTATATAATATAATGTTTTACTGTTTACGACATTACATTCAGGAAAATTTTGTCGCCCCGGATCAGGAATGCAATCAAGAAGATAGCTATTACATAGGCGAGCAAAATGGCGCAAAAAGGAACGAACAGATCAATTCGTTTTGATCAATCATTATTTCACTTATTTATAACTGATCTTTAATCCTTGTTAAACTAACTAACTGACTTACTAAATATCATTCATATTTGTCTTTCTTTGCTGTATTACTGCTTTCGTTTGTTTGGTTACTGACTTGTGATTTCTACTAGGATTATTATTATTATTATTATTATCACTTATCATGCCTAACTAATTATCACTTATTAAGATTTATCAGGTGTTTACTTTTCCATTACTTTTGTTTATAAAAGTTTATAAAGGAAGAATTCTCTTTTCTTCCTCGTATTTGTTTTATTTATGCATTCAATTTATCTATTTGTATTTTGATCTTTTCTAGATCTCCATCCTTTCTTCACTTACATTTCACTAATTAATGCTACTTAATTAATTTGTACTACTTCTCAAGGTTATTCTGTGATTTTAATAAAAATTTGGCATCTTTTAAAATTATAGCACTGAAAACTATTGAATTATTTATCACTAATTACTTCATTGTGTATCGATTGCTGCCTTTCGCATATTTATTGAAAATTCATTTCGACATGAACAATTAAACTTTGCGTCTAATTTTCTAACTTTTTAATCAAAATTGACAAACTTTATGCTTGAATTCATAGGTTTTTCCATACGATTGCAAATACTAATTACTGTTTTGACTGTTTTATTTGAAAGATATTTGCATATGAAAGTATGAAAGACATAAAGGAAGAAGAAAGTTTGTAGATAAATTAGAAATGAGTGGCATTTAACAAGAAAATTTTCTGTATATCTGTTACATATCAGAAGTTCGCTACTATCACCAGCTGAGGTGACAACTGTAACAATTAATGTGACAGACATTTGTGTGTCACATATTACTTTCCTCAGTTACTTAATCTGTGATAGGTTACAATGACATTTCTTACATAGCTGACAAATTCAAATTAAATAGTATTATTTTAACTCTCTCAATTAAGACAAATTAAGTTGCTGTCTAGAAAATATGCAAATGTTAAGATCGAGTGGAATCTTTATTTTTTCTTATCGGCTGTAATAACAAGATGACCTTTGGTTGTAAGTCTCGATTTTAATGTTTGAATTTCTATGTCTGAGGGCAGATTGTAGCTTCGACTAATTTCTCGTCTAATTTCACCGATTTCTCCTTCTTTTGGTTCTCTGAAGCATCGGACAACTAACTGATCACCGATTACTTTAACCTAAACACAGAATGATTGGTTATTTTCAGCAATAGTTGGAGTATTTTTTGAGTGGAATTCCCTAAATTGATTTAAATTATTTAATAAAATTTTTGATCTTTCAAATGTAACAAATTTTAGGCAACGATCAAAAGTGCAAATGAACGACGACATACTTCGATATCGTTCGGTTGAAAATACACGGCTTCGAGAACGACTTCAAATTTTTCAGCTGTGTTAACGACTTTTACTTTGCCGTCATTCTTATTGAGTGGCCAATCCCATTGGTCAATCCTTTTTAAATTATCCGAAATTTCAACATTTATCGTCGTCATTGGTATCAATGCTTAAAAATGGAACAATTGCTTTTAATTTGTTGAAAATACCGAAAGAATTTTTCAATTTCATTAATTTCGATTTATATGTGTCGAAAATGACTGAAACAACGACACTACCGGACAAATGTGACATAGGGGCAAATAGTTGTTTCGTTGAAATTTTCAATAATTTCAAAAAAAGAGTATGGATCTTAAATGGAAGGTGGCAAATATGAAATGCTGAACGGATAAATATTTGAAAAATTCGAGAAAAGATGACGGATTAGAGAATGTCATCCGGTTATCGGGAAGCAGTAATCAGGAAAAGTTGCTTGGAAGTGAAATGATACGAGAATTAAACAAAATATTAATAGCTGTAAGAAAAGTATTACTAACATCTGTGTAGTCAGTTATTTATCCGTTGCAAATAGCATTGTAATCATTTAGGGTGGAGCATATTGGAGAAATTTGAATTTGTAAAATTAAATTTGACAAAGGAAAATGAAAAGTTAAACGTCGCTTTGCTAATTTTCATTTCTTTCTAATGCTATTTGCATTTGTTAAGAAAGAAAGAAAGAAAGAAAGAAGGAAAAAGAAAATGCGAAATAATTTAGAATGGAAACAAGAAAGCGAACAAAGATGAAACATATGGACTTCAGACAATTTACTAAAAAATAACCTTCGGACATTTCACAGCTATTTTTTGCAGTTAAAATGGCACAGCTGCCATTTTGTCATCTTAATTAATCTGTTCCAATTTTTTAGTACCAATTTGTAATTCTCAAATTATAAATGAAAGTAATAATCGACGATGTGCGGCGCTCACTGAAATAATTCGTTCTTTCCACTTTTTATTTTAATTTAGTATTTCAATAGGCAAAAATATCATTTACAATTGCTTAATAATTGCTTCTTTGTTTTTCATTTTTCATCAATTTTATTACTTTTTCTTTGATAATTTTCTTTCTTTCACACTTTTCTCCTTATTATATGAAAGTTATAAAAAATATAATTTTCTTACTAATTTTTTTTATTGGAATTGTTAAATTTTATTAGTTAATTTTAAAGTTTCAAAGTGTTTGAACTATCAAATAATCATCTCACTTTTATTTGAAACTAACACATAAATCCTTACAATTTGAAATCTTATGAACATGTGGACTGCTAAAGAGATTCCTCTTCTCTACCTGTCGAACTTTTAATCTTTATTTGACAATGGCTCAAAAGTGGAAGAAGAAAGATGGAGCAAAAGTATGTCCAAAAAGTACGTTGAAATTACAGAGTTTACAACTGATAGCATTTTATTAGATATTTTCACTGTTTTATTGTTAAGAAGAAAAATAAATAAGTTAGATTGCTTCGTAAATTATCAGTTCATCAGTTATCAATTTATCAGTGTAAATTTGAGATTTTAAAACTCATATCTGATAAATAATAAATAGTTAATATCAGGATTGATGTTTTATAATGGCATCCTGTACTTATCACATGTGTATTTGTCATTTTATCAGTTACAAAATTCATTGATAACACAAGAAAGGAAGGAATGGAATTTTGACAAAATATAATTTTTTCACTCCGAAAAAGATTAGTCAAAAAAGCTAATCTTTAATTATTCAAAATTTGTTGAATGGTATTGAGGGAATTAATTTTTTTAGTGTCCTGATAATACGATGATCTACATAAAGTGTTAAATTTGTTTTTTTTTTTTTTGCAATGGATGCATAAATTGAAAGCTGTTTTTTTTTTCTTTTTTTTGCAGATTAATAAAGTTGCAAAAGTTCAATGATATCATAGTAAGTTGAAAATTCAAGGTTTAAATATATTTCAATTTGTCATTGATTTATTCTAGCATTTTTAAAAAATTATCGTTAAATTTATTGAAGCAATAATTCTATTACTTTTTTTTCTCCTAAATCTTTAACACAAACTGAAATGTTTTTGTTTTTAACAAAGGCAAAATAACCTTTTTGCAAAATGATTATTCAAAACAATTTGTATAACAAGCAACCTTGTTGATTTGTTCCTTTTCGAAAAGTTACTATTTGATTTGATTACGAGTTATCCGTAAGTTTGTATGAAAGAAGTATAAAACAGAAATATCTTTTATCATCACAACAAATGACATTTTGTCTTTGTTTATTTCGAAATAGTTCTTACTTTTATATGAATGTAAACAAGTCTGACTGACATGAAATGCATTTTCATACTATTAAAATATTCGTTCACTTAAAACTTATTCCGCCTAAGTGTAAACTGAGCTAGCATTAATTAAATTTTCAGAATAATAAGCAACTTAGTAACGACCTCCTATTAATATACTTAGTTTAGGATGAACACGCCGCACCTTAAGGTTCAAAATAAAAAATACAAGTTACTATCGAATGAAAGATATCTATTGTTGATTAATTCAAACGATGAATTCAAAAGTTTGTAAAATGATGTTTTAACAGTTTTAACATGGTGAATCAGCAATCATATTTGCAGCTTCATTAAGAGATTCTAAAGCTTTCTTCTCACCTTCCGCTGCTATCACCTTCAAAAACAGTAATCAAACTAAGTAAGTTATATGATTATTTTTGATAATTTGCATTACTGAATATTGAATTCCATTATCGAATTATTAGTATTATAGTCTAATTAATCAGGTTCAATGAATAGAAATGCACTAAAATGAATTACGACAAACTCATGTTAAGGTGGGATGAAGTAATACAACATTTCGCATTACTAAATATTGAATTCGATTATCAATTCAAACATATCCTTTTAGTATATTCTTTTAAATTTTAGAAGAGAGGTAAAGACCGAGACCGGGGCAATCTTATTTTTTTAGAAGCTTTAACATGTCCTTGCAAAATACTTGCTTGATGATAAACCATTAACAAAGCAACAATAAACATGTTCTTGCTTTAGTTATCACAGAAAATACTACTTATTATGTTAATCATACGTATAAAAAAATTCATAAATGATAAAATGATAAAGTAGAGAAAAATTCGATCAAAATTTTAAGTTTTTCAAAAATTATTTTTTATCTCTCATTACTTTTCTTTTTCGCTATCTCTCTTTTTACCTTCTACTTTTAATCTTATTCTCATCTATTTTAAAATTTTCTTTAAAAATCATCAAAAAAAATTTTTTAATTGTAAGAAATCAGTAACCAATTAAATTTGAAACCTTAACACAAACACAAGCTGAAAATGGTAGCGCTAATAAGACGGCAACATATGCCACAATTGTAAGTATCCAACCACAAATGCCAAACTCATGTTTAATACCAGCTGGAATCATCTACCATCTACTAATGTTTTGAATTGAAATTGTTTATGCTTGAAAAAACAAAGAAAAAAAATAGTAAACAATAAAATTACTTTTACCAGAATATGCCTTATCTAGCCATTTTCATTTTAATATTTTTAATTACTTTCTCCTTAACACTGAATCTTTCTGCCTTGAATCATATTACAAGTTTTTTCTTTTTTTGTTTAAATTAAAATTAATAAATTCTCAGCATAAAATGAGATGAAACTCTTTGGCACAGCATGTAACTCGTATTTGTTCAACAAATTTTAATCGACTGAATTAAACAATTATCGGATTAGAAAGTGAATAATTTCAAAAATAATCTCGCTTAACTTGCTAGATAAAGCAACAAAATCAAAATCAATGAACACAACATATAATTTTTGATTGTAAATGGAAAAACCGAAGTCAATTAAAACCTATCCTTTTAGTATATTATTTTAAATCTTAGAAAAGAGGTAAAGAGTGCGCTTGATGACAAACCATTATAACAAAGCAACAATAAACTTCTTCTTGCTTTAGTTACCAATTACAAACCACTTACAAACCAATTACAAACCACTCACAAACCACTTACAAATCAATTACAAACCCCTCACAGACCAATTACAAACCACTTACAAACCAATTACAAACCAATTACAAACCACTCACAAACCAATTACAAACCACCTACAAACCAATTACAAACCACTCACAAACCAATTACAAACCACTCACAAACCACCCACAAACCAATTACAAACCACTCACAAACCAATTACAAACCAATTACAAACCACTCACAAACCACTTACAAACCAATTACAAACCACTCACAAACCAATTACAAACCACTCACAAACCAATTACAAACCAATTACAAACCATTTACAAACCACTTACAAACCACTTACAAACCAATTGCAAACCATTTACAAACCATTTACAAACCAATTACAAACCACTCACAAACCAATTACAAACCACTTACAAACCAATTACAAACCACTCACAAACCAATTACAAACCACTTACAAACCAATTACAAACCACTTACAAACCAATTACAAACCACTTACAAACCAATTACAAACCACTTACGAACCAATTACAAACCAATTACAAACCGCTTACAAACCAATTACAAACCACTCACAAACCAATTACAAACCACTTACAAACCAATTACAAACCACTCACAAACCAATTACAAACCACTCACAAACCAATTACAAACCACTTACAAACCAATTACAAACCACTCACAACCAATTACAAACCATTTACAAACCAATTACAAACCACCTACAAACCACTTACAAACCAATTACAAACCACTACAAACCGATTACAACCACTTACAAACCGATTACAAGCCACTCACAAACCACTTACAAACCACTTACAAACCAATTACAAACCACTTACAAACCACTTACAAACCAATTACAAACCACTTACAAACCAATTCCAAACCACTCACAAACCAATTAAAATCCACTTAAAACCAATTATAAACCACCTATAAACAATTACAAACCACTTATAAACCAATTCCAAACCAATTACAAACCAATTACAAACCAACTACAAACCACCTACAAACCAATTACAAACCACTTACAAACCACCCACAAACCAATTAACAAACCACCTACAAACCAATTACAAACCACCTACAAACCAATTACAAACCACTTACAAACCACCCACAAACCAATTACAAACCACCTACAAACCAACTTACAAACCACCTACAAACCAATTACAAACCACTTACAAACCAATTACAAACCAACTACAAACCACTTACAAACCACTTACGAACCAATTACAAACCAATTACAAACCGCTTACAAACCAATTACAAACCACTTACAAACCAATTACAAACCACTCACAAACCAATTACAAACCACCCACAAACCAATTACAAACCACTTACAAACCAATCACAAACCACTTACAAACCATTTACAAACCAATTACAAACCACTCACAAACCAATTACAAACCATTTACAAACCAATTACAAACCACCTACAAACCACTTACAAACCAATTACAAACCACCTACAAACCGATTACAAACCACTTACAAACCGATTACAAACCACTCACAAACCACTTACAAACCACTTACAAACCAATTACAAACCACTTACAAACCAATTACAAACCACTTACAAACCAATTACAAACCACTCACAAACCAATTAAAAACCACTTACAAACCAATTACAAACCACCTACAAACCAATTACAAACCACTTACAAACCAATTACAAACCAATTACAAACCAATTACAAACCAACTGCAAACCACCTACAAACCAATTACAAACCACTTACAAACCACCCACAAACCAATTACAAACCACCTACAAACCAATTACAAACCACCTACAAACCAATTACAAACCACTTACAAACCACCCACAAACCAATTACAAACCACCTACAAACCAACTACAAACCACCTACAAACCAATTACAAACCACCTACAAACCAATTACAAACCACTCACAAACCAATTACAAACCACCTACAAACCAATTACAAACTACTCACAAACCAATTACAAACCACTTATAAACCAATTCCAAACCAGTTACAAACCAATTACAAACCACCTACAAACCAATTACAAACCACTCACAAACCAATCACAAACCACCTACAAACCAATTACAAACCACCTACAAACCAATTACAAACCACCTACAAACCAATTACAAACCACTTACAAACCACCCACAAACCAATTACAAACCACCTACAAACCAACTACAAACAACTACAAACCAATTACAAACCACCTACAAACCAATTACAAACCACTCACAAACCAATTACAAACCACCCACAAACCAATTACAAACCACTCACAAACCAATTACAAACCACTTATAAACCAATACAAACCAGTTACAAACCAATTACAAACCACCTACAAACCAATTACAAACCACTCACAAACCAATCACAAACCACCTACAAACCAATTACAAACCACTCACAAACCAATTACAAACCAATTACAAACCACTTACAAACCAATTACAAACCAATTACAAACCACTCACAAACCAATTACAAACCACTTACAAACCAATTACAAACCAATTACAAACCACCTACAAACCATTACAAACCACTCACAAACCACTTACAAACCAATTAGAAACCAATTACAAACCACTCACAAACCAATTACAAACCACCTACAAACCAATTACAAACCACTCACAAACCAATCACAAACCACTTACAAACCAATTACAAACCACTCACAAACCAATTAAAAACCACTTAAAACCAATTATAAACCACCTATAAACTATTTACAAACCACTTATAAACCGCCTAAAACTGTCTTATTTCATGTAATTAAAAATAAAAACAAAAGTTTTCTGTGCCGATAAAAAAAAAAAAACGAGCTTTCTGTGCTATTTGCATTTCAGGATATTAGCAAATCATTCGAACTAGACAAGATGGACAAATGCGTTAAAAGGAAAGTTGAAAAATTAGAAAAAAAACTGCAATCCAAAACAATTTTCGTTATTTGGATAAAGTTTTGGCTAGAAATTTCTGGAAAATATTTGCATTGCACTGAGAATGGCTCAGTGAATAATGCTTTCGCTTTTTCTATTGTGATAAATTCACTGCAATCAGATTGATGGATAGATCATTTACTATATTATGTTTGCAGCAGAAAAAAGTTGATTAGAACAAAGTTAAATAATACATAAAGTTTGCTAAATTGATGGGTTAAATAAACGATATTCACAACAGATTGTTTTAAATTGCAATTAAAGGCAAGCGAAGAGAACACATAGTTGGATATTTATATAAAACATATTTTGTCATTTTCTTTGCTATTTATTGCTCTTAATTATTGAAGACTAAGAATTGTGCAGATTTATAGCGCGGATCGAGTAGTTGAAGTAATGACATGGTCATAGATCGCAAAACGATAACTTCTGGTTCGGCATTTCATAGTAATATTGATTGTTCTCGTTTTTTTTTTTTTTTTTTGAACAGTTTTATTAATATTTGAAATTCATTTTTCTTTATACATTTTATAAAAGATTTTTTAGATTTTAAGATTTCATTTTTTTTTTTTTATACATTAAAGATTTTTTTTAGATGCTTCATTTATAAAAGATTTTTTTAGATTTTAGATGAGAAACACTAATTTAAGATGCCAATGAACTGATTAAATAATAGGACAATTACATTATTTTACCAATTTCACTAGAGCAAAAAAAATGAGCAAGAATGCTACCAATTTCACTAGAGCAAAAAAATGAGCAAGAATGCTATAATTCAAAAACAAACCTGAAGATCTGCATGATCTACAAGAACACATTTTTTAATGTTAAATTTTAGACATGATCCAAAAATTACGGATACAAAATCACTGAAGTAGTTGCATTTATTTCTGGAAACCAGAAGGCTGTTCAATAATGCATCTAAGTGCTCTTAATGAGAGACATATAATGTTGTTTTATTATCTACAAGATAACAAAACTTTCTGTTCTAAAAGATAATTAGGAATTAAGTGAAGTACAAAAAAAATTTTTATTTTTTGTATGGTATTACTATAGCAGAGCTCTCATTATATCTGCTTATCATTACATTTATCACTACATATGAATGCAATGACAAAGAATATTATCAGTTGCCGGTAATGTTTGAAATTGGATGAAAGTGCGATTGCACTCGTTTATCAATGATAGATAATGTAGATTAGACATCACTCAAGGATTATATGGATTAACACAAATAGAAATATCGCCGTTCGTTCTGTTGGTATTGCCAGTCTTCGTTAAAGCATTTATCAGTGATAAGATGTGATAAGGATTTGACATATTCGTGACACTGAAAAGTAGGCGACCGGATCAATTCTTTCGGTCTTTCAGTAATTAATTCCATTACTATGAGATGATTTGTAGATAGTTAGGGATGCATTTAAGTATGGTATGCATGTATGTGTATGTGTGAATTTTTATGCATGTCCTTGTATATGTGCATGTAAACCGTTTGAGAGGTTGTGCAAATCATGGAACAGCAATATTGATAAAATTCTGTCAACTTTATTAAACATTTCTAAACAAAATAACAAAAGAAGAAAACTATTAGAACTCGTTAACTGAAATTCATAATACATAACGTGGCAGAAAAAAAAAAAAAAAGAAAAAATGACCGAACATTAAAGCGATTCACAAATTCCATTTGACAAAGTAATGAAAAAAGAAGAAAGTCTATAGAAAATTTCATAGCTTTCACAATCGATCAAATTTCACTTTTCAAGCACAGAGTTTTGAAATGTATAAATTATATTTCAAGATTCTAATCAAACTGCTTTTAAAGAAACCATCCAAACAAAGTTGCCGCTCCAATTGAAAACCTGAAAGAAAATTTGCATCAGCTTAAACCGGCATAAAACATCAGTTGAGTGCAAAGTAAGCTATAATATGAACTAACCAGAAACAAGCATACATCATATGATCATTTCTGTGGCTTACTCGTGTCTGACCTCCGATTGGACCACCTCGAATACTAGATTCTAAAATGATAACTTAAAGACTTTTCAAAAAATAAAGTAATCTCATTTCATAAATAAATTCATGCTTCTACAGGAGATTTAGGTTACAAATTTCATATTTCAATATCAAAAATTCAAATCTTCATACCATAACATGCATCAACAAGAACGGGTAATGTGCCGTGTTTTTCTGCCATTTGTTCAACATCTGTATAAAACCAAAGGTCATTGTCAGGATCATTTCGCCGAATAAAGGACGGCCTCTAAAATAAACAATTTGGAAATTAAAAAACAATGGTTTTTAAAATAAACAAACAAGACCACTACTATCTCTATATATACTAGCTAAATTAATCTTCAAGATTACTGCTGCAACTTCTTGAAACTTTCCCATATTTTGTTCTCGGTCCTCTAAAATTGGATTAACTAAACATAGGTTTCTGAATTAGGTGAAAAAAAAAAGTCACAGTCAATAAAGTAAGTTACCTTTTCGGTATGACGAACTACTGCATCAAAGGTAACTTGTCCTTGCACTTGTCCTTCAGTTCGACTTGAAGGAATGATTTTTTGCGGAGAAACCCATCCGCGATTAACCAGAATGATCTGGCTGAATAAATAATTATATCAAATAATTTCAACAAATGCAAAAAAGACGAAACAAAGTTGATGAAGCAAGGAAAAAGGTCTTACATGGATTCTTTAAATCTAATCAGTTTAGAAATTGAATCCTAATAATAATAAATATGCAAAAGCATCAAAATTTGCGTGCATATGGCAGTTAAATTTAAATCTGTATAATCACGAACTAAACAAATAGCATCCTCTCTGTGCCTAAAACGAATTATTTTATCCTTGAAAATTTACCCCGATGGATGAAGTTTAAACGGAGTGATAACTTGTGCACCAGGGCTACCAAAATTATTTACTGCAGGTCGAATTTTCGATTTCTTTTCCTCTGAAAGTCTCATTGATATCTCACTTTTTTATATGACACAAAGGTTGCACAAATGAGTTTCACCTTTATCAAATCGTTGCCTTGGTTGCACATAAAATTCATGGTCATGAAGAAATTCACCCGTTACTTTCACTTTTGCATATTCAAGATCGTCCAATGACGACAAACTAAATTCAAAGAATTTAAATTTCCGTTGACAGAATTTTTGTATAGATCATGCGAAGTTTCTTTTTCTTTCTTTTTTTTTTAAAAACCGATTAGTTTAATAACTTATTTAATTATATAAATATGTACACGTCATTTAGAATATGCTATTACTGGAATGAAAATCTTCTGAAATAATTTAAAGTATTACTTATCATCTGGAAATGGTACAGCTTCCTGTTTCATTCTATCTTCTATTTTTTTCAATAAATTTGTTTTCCACTGCAATCTCTGTAACTGCCATACACCAAGAGCAAATGCCACTAATGGTGCAGCCTGCAACCGTCTTTATTTATACTTTTAATGTATATTCACAAGAATTAAGTCTCAAGAACGCATAGATTCAAATGCCACATTTTTCTTAGCAAAATTCATTACTCAATTAACGATGGAAAATTTTTTGGAAAAAATGCAAAGTCTAAAATTCAATACCAATCCAATAGGAGAACGCTTGCTCCAGCGTATTTTTGAGCCTTCTTTCTGAGATTCTTCTGAAAGCTTGTTGACCTAAAATTGATAACGTTTCTTTCTTTAGTAGCTTTTATCCTTTCAAAACTTTTTGAACAAATGAATATGCTATGATAATGCAAGTATGCACTTTTCAACGAGGGTATCCTTATGATGGATCGAATTTTTCATAAAATATACATTTCAATTTTACTATACAACTGTTTCTTTTTATAATATTGAATAAGTATAATTTTTATAATATTGAATAAGTACAAGCATGCAGTTCTGAGTCACAAGTAGCCTATAAAAGAGCGCTAACAAAATATTCATTTTGATCTTTTCATTTAAATATTAACCAATTTATCTTCTCAGTACCTCTTATTAATTTCGCGATAGTATAAAATTATTTCCAACATACATAATCCAATTCCCACCTATGTAATCCATTCATTTCCTGATGATACATGCAATTATTATAGCTCAGCGATTTTAGCTAAAATTTGATCGGTGATTATTAGACTGAATTCAACATTTCAAGTTTCTTTTTTCCTTTTCTGGAAGTAGGAACATGCAACAAAATTATTACAGTCAGTTAGATTGTCAATAAGATAAGAAAAATAAACTTGCATCATAAATTGATGGATTTTGTGTAGAACGACGAAGCAGGCAATGAATATTCTTATCAGAGATCAAATGTTGCAGGAGTTGTTTATTGGTTAAACGGCCGGGAATATTCATCATTCTGAGTTTTCGCAACAGCAATTAGTATACAAGAAATCTCTCTGCTACGGCTAGCACAAATATCATTTCCCTTTAAAAAGAACGCGTGGAGATCAAATATAAAATGTGTAAGGTTTATATAAAACAAATGAAAACCCGTTTTGTGATGAATAAAATTGAAATATTTTTCACTTCATAAAGCCAACTTGTAATAGTCCAAAAAAACAGAAAATCATTTCGTATCAAAACTTTTATTAAACAAAAGTTTCCGTGAATTCATCACATAGCGTAAAGTAATTGCAAGTACAATATAGCAATCAATATAATACAATTTCATATTAATATAAATCAATTTAATTAGATTTAATTCAAGGAGAGAAAACAACAAGAAAATATTCACAAATTAAAATCATTTAACAGTATGCTTTTATTAAAATGTCCATTAATTGGTCATTAAAAGCCTGTCAAAAGTGCGAAGTGTTTCTGTTAATTTAAAACCAATATATCACAACTTATTGGGAATCAAAAAAAAATTGCAATTTACTGTTTTTTTCGAATTCCAACAGCAGTGAATAACTCTATTAGATCGTATTGTTAAAAAATGAACATAAAAAAATAAGAATCAATTAAAATTAATCTTTAGTGAATCTCATAAATAAATTTGATTTTATTATAACAAATGTAATCGAGCATTATAAAATATTTTAAAAATGAAAAAAAAAAAGCTTACATTGCACATCAATGATGCCAATTTATTGGGCATAAAAAAAACTTTGAAATATTCAGTTTTTAGTTAGAATTCTTGAAGTTATTAAGTAATAATTAGGAACAATTCGTGCTTCAGTTATTCGATTCTAAAATACTAAATAATTAATTTGTCGCACCATAAATACAAGAATTAATTATTAGGCCGAACCATCTACAATGGAATTCTATGGTTCGTCCAGAGAAATTTGTTAAATAAAAATCAATGAATGTGAAGTGTGGAGGTGATTGATAGTAATTAGTGATTGGTTAGGTTATCAGTGGTTGATTACGTTATCAGAAACATTAATATAAAGTATAGATTAGATTAGTGTGTTAGAATTAAGATATTATTGATTTCGAGTAAATGAGAATATAGGCTTAGCAATTATTTTACAGGTTAAGATGATATCAGAATCGTTGTATATAGAAATGATGAAGAATTGCTCGAAATGGAACAGTCGGGTAGAAACAGAACGAAAAGGTCGATATACGGTATTAGATCCTCAAACTGGTATAGCACAGCACCCATCACATCATGCCATTTATGAACTATCTAATCGATATCCACCATCAAATCCTTCTCAGGTTTATCAACATAATTTTTCATTCATTAAAATGAAATTCCCTTCATATATTAGATTATCATATATTAGAATCGTATATTTGACTATCACATACTATAATAACGAAGTATTTAGTTCTTTTTTTTTCTAGCAAGCAAGTAAAATTTGGGCAAATAAATTACAAAAAGGAAGAAGAGGCCAAAAAAAAAAAAAAAAAAAATTTTTTCTTCTACGAGTGTTGCATTGCCCACTTAATGTTTCGAAACTCGCAAGTTTAAAATTAATGTAGGTTGTGAAAATTGATACACAATTCATCATTGCACCATTTTGTATTACTGCGAAGATTGCATTGCACTGATACATTAAATTAAATGACCACTAACTTTTGTACATTATAAAACTATCATTATTATCTGCAAAATTACTGATAATATTACACTGTCACTAGCGGAATTATTAGTAAATTTTTCTGCTTTCTTAACATTGGTGCAGTTCTAGATACTTATTGTTATTATAACTATAGTTATACTGTTGAAATTGCTCGTGTTGTTATCCTTTGTGTGATGAATTCGTTATAGTTTCAGTCGCAGTTTCAATGTACTCATGTTATTGTTGTTTTTGTCGCTATTTCTGTTTCATTGTCTTGAGAGTGTGTGTAGGTTTTATATTAAGTTATAATTGTAGGTGTTTTCGATTAAATTACCATGTATTTTTTGTATCATATGTGGTTCCTTACCTTCGTACACTTCCAATATTTCACATTTTAATTTTACTTTTCAATTTTTCATAGATTTCTGTTATCCCAATAACAATTTTTTTTTTTTTTTTTCAGTATTGCACATATGGTAGCAGGCGTTGGAAGAAAAGGAAGTCAGCGCCAACATCAGATGCAACTGAAATGAAATATATATTAGAATGTAATCCAACAATTAGCGATGTGATAAATCAAGCTAGTTCAGCCGGCCAGGGTAACTATCAGGATCTTATTATTTATTTATTTTGTTTTTGGTTTTTTTTTTTTTGCTTTGAAATGGTTCTATAAAATTTAATTCTTAATGAAGAGATTTGCGAATCATTGTTCGTGTACTATCGAAATTTTATTTTCACTATCATTTCTTTTTTAGATCCGACTGATTTTCAATCACTGACAGCGATGGCGAATTCATCATTAGAAAATCATTTCACTGAAAAAAGAAAAGTCTATGTAAGTCTTAACTTGATTAATTTATGTATGAAATTTTACGATAAAAGAAGGGTAATGGTTGATTTTCAAGGTTATTTTTAATTTATATGCAAGCTTTTTGAAGAAGCTTATATCGATCCAAGCATTAAGTTTGTTTGCTTCTTTATCGTGCAATGATTAAACAATTAATTTTGATTCATTGTTGGTTAATCTGTTGATGATGATGGCAATTTAATTATCCTATATTTATAGGTTATAAAAGAACCAGGAGTAGACATGGAAGTGGAGGAAGCAAGCGAAGAAGATCCTGGTGAGGCATCAGATGAAGAAGAATGGTCAGATGGAAGAAAAAAACGTAAAAGGAGAGGTGCTGCAGGAGGGAGTCGGGGTGGACGCAAAAATGCGACAACCTTATCTGTGAATATACCGCCAACGCAGGGATTTACACCAGATCCCAAACCTTTTTCATGTAATTGTAAGTGTTTCGTAATTTCTGGACCTTTTTTTTTTTTTTTTTTTTTTACTATGCGTGAAGTATTAATAATATCCTATCCGGTCACCTTTCTTCTTTCATCGACTAACTGTGGAAATATTTTTTGGTGTTAATTTCTCAAACTCGATAACATTAATTTCCATTTAATTGGTACGCATCCTTTCAGTATGCGGTGCCAAATATAAAAGTCGTCCGGGTTTAAACTATCATCGAGCTCATGTGCATGCAGATAATGTCAGTCCATCAACAACGCCCCAACCAGCACATCGTATTGATTGATTCTTTTGCTTTATTGGTTACCAGTTTATTTATTGCAGAGGGATACAAACATCTGGGTTTAGTTGTCATCTCCGGGTAGCATCCAGAACTTTTTCAGCTTACAACGATTCAAACGGGTTTACTTTATCAAACTATAACTGTATCAAAAAATGCTTGTTTTCGGTGATACACACATTTGTTGTTATCCATTTGCTTTCGGAAATGTCCAATTAGTATTTCTTTATATATATTAATAAGTATAAAAACTTTCTCCAATGAGGTTTTTTTTGGCAGTAACACAACAGAGCGTAGTATTTTGAAGAAGTCGAAAAAACTGAAGACATTTCAAATTTGGAAACTGCCAGAAGGTCAGAGATTGTTTTTAATTTTTAAGATTGGCTTATCGAATTGCAATATGCTTACGAAATGCATGGTTGGGTATAGGCACATATATCCCATTCCAGGACTATCACCATGTATAAAAAAATTGATCCCTAAATAGTGGAACAGAATTCCGTGGATATTACAGCTGTTTGGAAAATATGCTGCATTCATTACAGCATGCTTAAATTGGATTGTCTGTGTTGCTTGCGGGTTGCTCATGATGAGTGCTTTTCAGTGCTATCGCCGAGTATCGATGTGTCCACGGTTTGCGACTTATGTTTGGGTGATTGCAACCAGAACAAAAAAACAATGAAGCCGGAACAGCTTATTAGCTGTCATGATTGTGGAAGATCAGGTAATAGTGTTGCAGCATACATAAATATCATGTTATTATGTTGTAAATGTGTCATATTAATATATTTCTCGGGATTGTCACTTCATATCTAACCATTCAGGTCATTTATGCAATGCATATTTTGCTCACTGCTTTTATATAATTTGTGATTATTTCACATTGACTGCAGTAGAAGGATGATCATGCTTAGTAGAAGGAGTAATTTGTGTATTTTTGCTACACAAATTACTTTCAAGCTGTGCAGCTAGAGTATCTTCAAATTTCATGATAGATATTTTGATTGTCTAATGTATTCTAATTATGATAAGTTCATGGCATTGTTTTTATGGAATACTTGCAGGCCATCCGAGTTGTCTTAAGTTTACGGATAATATGCTTACATCTACCGGCAAATATGGTTGGCAATGTATTGAATGTAAAAGTTGCGCGATTTGTGGATTCTCAGATAATGACGTTTGTTTACTCTTCTCTAAATTCTTGTTCCGATTTTTCACTATAATATAAGTTTTTTTTTTTTTTTCTGCTTAACTTTTATAAAATTCCTTGTCAGTAACATTTGATGTATTTTTTGCTATGTTTGAGAAAAAGTTATAAATTCTAAAAATGAATATGTTTTAGGATCAGTTGTTATTCTGTGATGATTGTGATCGCGGCTTTCATCTTTACTGTTTGCGGCCTCCACTTCCGCAGGCTCCGGAAGGTGAATGGAGTTGTCATTTGTGTCAGAAGCAGTTTGGTGCACAAGCTTCGCTTCCAGTAGTAAATACAAAGAAATGAATATGTGTCTATCCTAATTGGGCCTGACTACTTAGATCTTCCGTCATATCCTTAATTAACATTTGCATTTCCGAATGATCTGTTATGCTTCATTTTCAAGTTTTTATTGTTTACTTGCAAATTTGCCGGTGAAATAACTAGCGTTTTTGGCCAATTCTAAGTTTTTCTGTTTTTTCAAGCCAAAAGAAACGTGTCGGTTGTGCTTGTTTGTCAAATGTCAAAAGAAAAAAGAAACAGATGTTTATGTGTGATCCAATCCAT